ACATTAAAAGCAATAACTCATTGTTTAAGGCGGGACGTATCCATGAACAGTTATATGATTAATATGCATCATTAAACTCCATAGACCATGCACTTCTTTGTGAAAGTGAATGCAGTGTAGTCTTACATTAATCTACCTGATCAAAGTCTAATCTTATGATCTACATAATAAACAACAATTTTTGTATTTTTAAACTCTAGTTTGCGTGCAAGTCTTTCTGTCTTTCTTGACAGGAGTGTTCCGGAGCGAAGATGAACGCTATGAACAACAAACATATATAGCTGATAACGTCTACAGGATAAGCTCGGTCGTAATGACTCATTAAAATCTCAATCACACTCCATCTGCTAATTTATATTTTCAAGAGCAAAATAACTTTATGACCCACAAATTGCCAAACGTCCTGTCTTAAGTATAATTGTCATTGAGGTCCAATCGAAACTCGAAGTGTTGGTTTCGACTTAAGATTTCCAGAAGACGGTTTAAGATATGATAAACCCAGAACAGGATTCCATGATAAACATGACCAAGCACATGTATACTGAATTATTTTTTCAAATATAGTACACCAGCGAAAAAGATCAAGCAGAGAAATTCTGTGTACAACTCATAGATATCTTATATACACTAGATAGCGCATCTCTTTTAGTAAAATTGAAGCCAAGAATATTCCAGCGGTTACCCCCATTTGAATTGATGGCGGCCATGTTGGTGTTTCCCACTCGCTAATAAACGCTTAAAAAACAACAATAACTTTCATCATTTGAATAGTTTGAAAATGTATTTGGAATAGGTTTAACTCAATGTTTAAGTCCCTTGTTTAAGAAATAGAAAACATACGAGTTTTCTCATTTCATGCATGGGAATATCCTGAGTCTGCAATCACGGTTTCAATTTTCGAATTGCAGAATAATTAGATGCACTATCTAGTGTATATATAAGATATCTATGGTACAACTATGTACAAGATCAAACTATTATTATTACTATTAGGCAATAATTGTTATTATATTCTTTTCTACCAAACAAAACTTTATTGTCTTTATATATATATATAAGTCCTTTCTGCAATCTTAGGACGCACCACGACGAAACACACGGTTGGTTAAACGTGGGTTGAGAGCATGCTTCGTCGGGAAATGTTTGCATTATATAGGTTTCTGAAATACCACTGTTGTATTAGGGCCTATTCATATGGGGAGAAGTTATCCCGGTTAACGAGAAAACTTCTCTACTAGCCAAATACTTTTGTTCCGTTCATATGGAGAAACTTTATCCCGCTTTCCGGGTAAAGTTTTCGGCTGTGACGTAGCACTGAACATCAATTGAATTGAAAAGTTGCTGACACGACAAAAAGTTATCCCGCTAAGCGAGAAAGTTGTGTTCATATGGGAAAAAACAAGTGAGATCTCGGTACACGGGAAAACTTTTTGTCTCATATGAACGCAATGTAACTTTTCATATTATTTTCATACAAAGGCGAGATCTCGCTTGTAAACTTGTCGAAAAGTTTTCTCGCTAACCGAGATAACTTTTGCCCATATGAACAGGCCCTTAATAATTTTATACTGTTACTATAATAATTTTTAGCCCCGTAAAACTGTGGAGAGGCCAAACTAACATATCCCCCCCCCGTCCTCGTCCAAAAAATTCCCCTCCCCTATTATTATACCCAATATAAGCACTTCAGTGAAGTCTCTTTTCATTGCGACAGTAATTGTGACTCTTATGTCTGTTGAATAATCAGTCTCGTCCTCACATTAACTGCCTCGTAATGACTAAAATATATTAAAGCAAACGATAAAGTTAATGACTTGTTATGATCAATTTCTCTTCACCTATTAAGGAGTGACTTATTTAATTTAGTTCATTTAAGGCCCAGTTCAAACGTCGAACTCCACATGAACCGATCCTAATTTCAACTATTGTTAAGTTCATGTGAAGATCGACGACTCAATCAGTTTCGACTGCCGATCCAACAATAAAGTTCAATATCGTTTGTCGGGAATTTCGACTTTAGATCGAGTTGGATTCAAACATTCAAACGTCCAACTTCACATGAACCAACCATATTTATATGCCATTATACTACCGCTGATCATAAATACCGCTTATCTTTTAAAAAATAGCTTTTCATTTCCGCCATCTTAGCTTCGAGTCTTGGGACTCGAGACCACTGCTCGAGACTCGTCCCCAGTCGCTTTAAGTTTTTTGCTAGCCACTGATCTATAAATCTCACTGATATGTGACATATTAAGGGACTGCGGAGGAGTTAGCTCCAGTTATATATGGAGCTCAATGGGCAGTACTAGCACGGAATGTTCAGAGACAGCCGCATAACCAATATCACTAATGACAAAGAGGTCAGTGATATCTAACAATGAGATTAGTATAGTATTATATAAATGAAAAGATATCTGAAAGGAAAATATTTTGAATTACATCTTATTATATACTTTGCATGCATATATATTCAGGAAAAAGGCCAAAGAAACCGCAGCATAAATGATTAAATATCAGGATATTGGGTATCGCACTCGATAGAACTAGTTGTTTAAGGTGACTTGTAGATGGAAATTTTCGAGTGTGAATTTTATACATTCATCAGTTAGACTAGCCTCCCTCGCAGACGTTCTTATAGCTCTAACCCTAGCGAGGGTTACAGCTGTAAGAACGTCGCGATGGAGACCACAGTTAAACCTAACCAGGAGCAGTTGTCAAAAATGCAACTATAGGTCCTCTTCCAGGAATAAGCCAACTGAGCTGCAGGGCTCAGTTGTCGAGCTCTAACTGCACTAGGTTTATGTGTATACAGCTATTTCAATAGCATAGGCGTACCGGGCGGGGCGGTAGCCCCCCCCCAGTTTTTTGGGCAGTCGGGCAATATTCGATCAACAGTCGGGCAATTTTGGTTTGTAATAAAAATAAATGGGACAAATTCTGTCAATTTAGTCGAAAATTCAGTGAATTTTGTGGTCAATTTTGTGTTGTTTGGAAAATTTGTGTGATGTTCCGAAAAATTTTGGTATGTCCGGAAAAATTTTTTGACCGCTAAAATGGTAAAATGGTCGCCGAAATAATTTGTCCGGAAATTTTTTAGATAGTAGTCGGGCACAATCCCAAAAAGTCGGGCAAATTTCTTTCCGCCCCCCTAATTTTTCCCTTCCGGTACGCCCATGTTCAATAGGCAATTCCAGCTTTTAGTTTATGCCTGCAGGGGATGATGGGAAGTAAGGTATCATATTGCCGATTATGCTGAAAAATGTCAATAAAAACTACCGAAACAACCGAAATATTTCAATATTTACAAGTATAAGCTATCACTCCGATCCGTGTTTACACGGCCACCATTTTTATTTTTTCAGCATAATCAGCAATGTGATACCTTACTTCCCATCGTCCCCTGCACGCATAAACTAAAAGCTGGAATTGCCTATTAAGGTTGTCCCCCGAAGCAAAACGGAAAAGTCGAATACGAGCGCGAAAGGCTTGCTGGGAATCGCTAAAAATTCATTAATTTTTTAGTGATTCCCAGCAAGCCTTTCGCGCTCGTATTCGACTTTCCCGCTTTGCTCGGGGACAAATAGCTGTATACTATTAAGGTGATGCGGAATGTAATTAGGTGTATGGATTAGTACACGTGTTAGTATCAGGATTTTGGGCGTCTCATCCAATAGAACTAATTGGTAAATTTCTACAAATCTACAAATCAAAAATGATTGTACAAATATAAAACTAATGTTACTCCAAAAAAGTGTGAAAAAGAAATACTCGTATATTTCGAAATATATAGTTTTTAAAATAGATTGTGTATAGTATAGTGCATTCATGCAACATTTTTCGGAATAACATAAGCTTTATATTTGCTGCATGAAATTATCAGCCGGTAAAGGAAAATTCAAATGATTGTACAAGCAATATGTACACATAAAACAGATTTGAAAATATTACAACTTTAAGACTTTAAAACTGTGAGTATTTAAATCAGGAAGAATTTTTTATTTTTAGTCAAATGCATACGAGATATCGCGTACATGCATGCAATATTAGAATGGAATGTTATTTTGTTTTTTAAATAGTTGCTTATTACAACGGAATACACAAACGTTAATTCATATCATTGTTACTTTTAAGTACAAATGTCTACCATTATCGTGACTTTGTTATAGTAAAAGGTGAAAGCCCAGAATGTGATTCTAATACAAAATGAATTATAAATTAGAGTATCTGGAAATACCAAGTAAAAGGCTTGACCCTTAAACACCGCACAAAGCAATATCAGTCAAGTATTAAGTGCTAACTATACAGTTACTACCAACATCCAGGTTAAACAACATGCACCTACAACACAGGTAAATGGGAGAAATAGATTAAAGAGACATCATGATTTCTAAAAAAATTAGCGTACATGATGGTGTTATATTGTATGATGGTGTTATATTGTCACTGTTTCGTCACGGTATAGGTATACCATTTATTTACCACAGACATAAATGTGCTTCTACACCAAAGCGGATGAATTCATGCAATGTATTAAAACACATGATCAATATCATTAAGCACTAATTACGGTTAGGTTTGTGACACTAATCCCAATTACCATTAGAATAGTTACTCTCCGTCTTCATTTCTACGTCGTTGAATCTTGCATGTAACAATTAAAGCCGGTTACAGACGAGCAAGTTTTCTATGACAAGTTTTCATGACAAGTTTTATTTGCTCGTCCGCAGAGGCAACTTTGCCAAGTTTCACTATGACAAGTACACTTTGATTATTGGCTAGTAAACTCGCTTTTGAACAAGTCTACTTGTCACAGAAAAAATTGGCAAAGTACACATTTAATTTGTTCGTCTGTATGGGTCAACAAAGAAAATTTGGCAAAGTAATTTGAGCACTTGGTCAGTGATCTATTGAGTATTGCTGTAATAGACAATAGTAATAGGCGGTCAAAAGACCTCGTCAAAGAAACCACACATTGACAAAGAAAACTAGCTTGCCATATGAAAACTTGCTCGTCTATAACTGGTTTAAGATGATGAACTCTGCCGGGTCATCCAGACTTTCACTAACAGCTGATGAGTTTATATTTTCAAAAGAAAAATAGTTGATGCATGCAATATTGGGTCATTAGAACAATTTCATCCAAACCAAAAATGGTTATCTAACTGTTAGCCTTGATAAAGGTCCACTTTTTTAATCTGTTATTCTAACAGGGAAGACAATATATTATTCCTTTCTATGTATATACGACCAGTATACGATACATACTAAACCGGGACTTGCTACTTGTAGGGTAAACCCCAAAAGCAAATATAAATATAAGTAAACAACCTCGTTGACACTTGCTACAAGGTTGATGACTGTAAAGACTTTTAACCACATCCACAAAACTTGTTAAAAACATTTTGTGAGAAAATATCATGTGAGAGTTTAAATTGTAGTATGATTTCTATCTTCCAGGAGTTGTTAGGGAACAAGGCATATTCTGGAACGGGAACAAAAAATCATAAGGGAACAGGGCAACATAGTGAATTCTTTTTTGGGAACAAAGAAAACTTTTCAAGTGAACACAAACCTCCACTCTGGGAGACATGCATTTCTGTATTCCTTCCCCTAGATAATGTTGTCAAATGTGGGGAAATAATTATACTAACATTGGAAAGGAGCAGAAAACCCAATGAAGTTAATTGAATGTGTTTTTCTAAAATTTCGATATATTATATTAATTAACGATTTTGTCTATGATTGCAGTTGTTAGGGTTAGAACCCAACATGCATGCATGTTTATTCCCTTTGGCTTTGCAATGTTTTCGATCCATATAAATGTCCCTGTATTTTAAAAGTTCTTAGTAACAATCCATAGTAACAGAATAAAATAATACCATAGATATACATTGTTGCAACTTGCTACAAGCCATTTATTGCATGGGAAAGCGCTCTGTTTACAAGTGCACACAAAAGCGATCTTTGTTCACGTGTGCAAGGAATGTTCGACACACCCACGTTATCCAGGGCACTTGATCTACCATACAGGAACTTTGCATGTGGTCTTACAGTTCAGTGTTTGCCTGAGGGTCATGGCATATACGAATATTATTGCACGAAACAAAACGGTTGGCATGGTATACGGTATAACAAAATATTTTTAAATCAAAAGTTGAAACAGTTTTCAGAAGACGATTTAGCCTTAGGCAAAATATTACGTTACCGTTTATGTTGTTGTTATACATTAAGATATCAGCATGCACAATAATGAAGACTTCAGCACATGGAATAACACAACGGTCGATATCAATTTTATTATTTGCATGCACTATATGAAGATCCGGGCTTATACGGATCGAATGGTTTACGAATGAATGAAGAAATGTTTCCTCAAAATCAAAACAATTACAGTTATCACCATGTAAACCACATGAAATTTACAAAACGTCAATATTACAATCTTTCACATCACTTCCGCAAATTTTGTTTCACTTTCATGTAGTACAGTCTTGAAACGTTTCAACGTTTTTCTAATGAAACTGTGTTACACTACAGCACGCGAACACTTGACAATCGCCTGGGATACCAAGGACTGAAGCACTTAAATGTTGGCACGACATCGTCATTAACCATAATAGTAAATCGGAAAGGTTATTCTGAATTTAGGCCTTGCCTCTTATTCCTATGACTGCAACTGTTTGCTTCTAATTAGAACAAACCATTACGACCTTGATTTGTTACAATTACTCACAATAAACCTTGGGAGTTATTCTTTTACAATGAGCGGCCAGAGTAGGTAAAAAGAGTTTGCATGTGTTCGTTTCAAAAACATAAGACAAGTAGAAAAAAAGTGTTACGCATATTATGACACTGTTCACCTGCGCTGACAGACGACTCTCCATGCGAAACGTTCATTTTAATTAAGCGTCATGATTATTCTTTTGTTTGATATACAACTTTATAAGGGTATTATTAATTAACAGAAATGCAAATAAATGAAGTAATCATAATATGATAATGCAGGAGATTGCAAACAATGATTTGAAACAGGATAATATTGCACATAAAGTATAAGGAAAAACAATCAAAACAGCAAAAGTCTTGATCTGCATGAAAATGTACTTAAATTTAAAATCATAAAACTAGACATAATCAAGTAAATCAATCCGTTTGCAAACAAATGTGCTTTTTTGTCAATGTTACTGAAAAATGTTATCAGATCTAAACACTTATACTTATATTTGCTTTACTTTAATTAAGATAAATATAGAGCTTTCGTAAAAGCAACTTTATGCAAAAGTTTAACAATACACTTTAAACAATAAAATCATTAAACATAAAATGTGGTAGTTAGTTACACAAATATATATTTAAAAGTAATGCCTATAAGTGTACATTACATAGCGTGTACCAAACGTTTCCGACTTTTAGTATATTTCCGACTGCCCTCTCAGAGGTGACATCTTGAACTCCTACACATTTAATACAAGATATGCTAAATATTTTCAAACTTCTATGACAATGTATAGAGATGTCGGAAGCGGCAAAGCGAGATAACTATTTCCGACATACACCCACTGACATAACTGACTAAGTGTAAAGATAAGTGTACACATGCTCTAGTAACATCAAAGACACTTTATTTCTAGAAAGTCCAAAGTTAACAAAATAATTTTGTGGAAAAAACCCCCACAAACAACCATAACTTCATTAAGACATCGTAACACATTTGTTTCATGGTATCAGAATGACATAGACTTCAAATGATCATCTTCAGTTCAAACTGTATTTCCGTCAGGTACTACATTGACATTGTACAATTACTCTTTGACAAGGCTTGACCTTAACCTTGCAGCCTTTCGTTATTCCCAACAAGCGTAAAGGTTGACCTTTCACGTGATTGCACGCATGCTTAAAGACGAGTGGATAATCACCCGGAGTTGTCGGTACAAAAGATTATAAATGGCAAATTTCAATAATTAATCAGGGCCAACTTATGAGAAAATTTCTCGAAAAATATTTCTACCATCATTCAATAATTATTCGTTAATCCTGGAAAGTAACACTTCTACAATCGAAAACTACTCGGTTTATCAACTCGGGGGTTAATTTGATTTCCAGTGCTCTAGTCTGGAAAGACCCTGTTTTGGTCTCGTTGGTTGGAATAGTAGAGGTACCAAAGGTATGCAAGGAATGATGAGGTAACAAACAGCATAGCAGTTGTAAATCTAACCACATCTCTTGCAGGATTAGGTAGTGGTAGCTCATCAACGAACACAATAAATTCATCCATCAGACCACAAAGTGTATACCCTTCTTTCACAGCATAGGCACGAAAATGGTAAAGTCCACCTCCACTAAACTCCAAAGAACTATTAAGTCTATCTTGAAGAACTGAAATGGTGGAATCCTGACCAGGGGTAGTCGAAGTAGTACTGCGTACGATCTTAAAGTCAGATCTCTGGTTTAATTCCACTACGTAGTAAGGATCAACGAAGCGTTTCGTGATGGTATCATCTTGTAGGAGGGTAAAATTTGGTCTGAATTCCTCACCATACAATAACCTATATACAGTAGTAATGCAATCGGAATAGGCAACCAATCTTGACATTGTAATATTTTCTTGATCACAGTCACAATCGCGACGATAAGACTTGCCACTGCATTGCTTATATACACGAGTCCGTCGAGAGATCGCAAACCTTTCCTTATATGGGGGCTTTTCAGGGTGTACATTGTACAGGTTTGATGACATAGGGATGCCAACCCCGCGGGAAGAAGGTGGTCTATAATTTGCAGGTAGCTTGTAATGTCTTAGAACGCCGTCACCGTCTTTAGGTGTACCATAGAGAAACACATTTGGTGTAAAGGTAATTGGGTATTCAAAAACCAAACGTTTGCTTGGTGGACATCCCCCATGTATGGTGAGCACATTTGAGACACTTGGACATTTTAAGGATAAATAAGGGATACTGAATGACATCTGCGATAATCCTGTTGTTCCAGGCTTTCGCATCAATCCCACATCTAGAGTATGGTTTGTTTCATAGTGTTCATGGGTTCCTCTGATAAAGAATAGCGACGGGTTGCTCACATGCATTGAAATCTGTGGCTCAGTAGTTTCTAAATGTTGAGCCAATACGGCGAACTGTAATGTTACATTATCTTGGGTATCTAGGTGATACAATGTTTTATACTGTTTTGGAGTAATAATAGGAAAATTGGAGCAATCTTCTTCCTCAAGCCACCACATACCGTAACCATTTTTTGGTTCACTTGTGTATACACGTGGTTCGAGTAATTTCCATTCCGAAAAGTGTCCTTCCTTAAATAATGAACTATTTTGAAAAGACACTGTCCCACCTGATACTGTTTCTATTACACCGTGATTGTCGCTGTGTATCATTAAGACCTTTCCAATATGTGAATTTGTAAAGACAAAATTAGCTATACCTTTAAACTCTCCCAGAGAATAGCTAATGCTGATACTGTCCGTCTTGTCATAGATAACTGTTGCAGAGCTCAGATCGTACATCTGCCAAGTACCAGACTTCTGGTTAGTATGTGGTAAAATACTTGGTGAAAATCCAGGTGGTGGTAATCCATATATGGTAGAACCATCGATATACTTTATTAGCAAAATACTCATCCCGTTGTCGAGTACCACAGTTCTTCCAACATCATGACTTGACCATCCTACTCCTGTGATACTTAGCTCATAGATCACATCATAAAACGCAGAATTAAGGATTCTTAGTTGTAAATCCATTTTCAATACTAGGGCTGAGATCGCTGTTAACCCGATGAAATCTTCCATAACTTTACCTTTAGCTCTTGTATAGAAACCAGTGGAAGGATTCAATTGCGTAACCTCGGAAATATGAGCGGAGCCGCCTAAACGGCTTTTAAGAACCTGCGTGACCACTGGAGAACTAAAACAATAACTGGTTAATGATTGGTTTGAAGGCTGTTCGAATGGTGCAGCTACAAAAATAAAAACATCGTGATGGCCAATAAATTGCAGCAACAGATGATCTGTACAGAAATGTTTCTGGTAAGACTCGAAATTTATCTTCTCAATGAAATAATTCCCAAATATTGAAGCATTTCCATTTTGAGAGAATCCTTTTATAGTCCCAAGTTCGTCAACCAGTATGGAATACAGAAACCCAGACAAGGTCTGATGGTGGATGGCGATTAACCTAGAGATCCCCATCCTACCATTCAATATTTTTCCATGGTTTGTCAGAACGACGATATTATCTCCATATTGTGGAAACGACAATGCTGTTATTGTATGCGGACTTCGTAACTTTGTGAGTTGTTTAAAAGAGTTACCCCCATCACGTGATTTCCACACCTAACAAAGAACAATGGCTATTATTTTCACGTTATCTGTTTAAATATTTGTATATCCATTTATATCCTGTTCACGTATTGTATATATAGTACTCATGCACAGTATTTTCAATACGACTCGGATTAGAGCTCCTTTTGATTGGTTGGTTTAAGTTTTTCGTGTACTTCAAGTTTTTATGCAAGGAAGCGATGACGAGTTCGCCTACAAACACACTCGTCAGTGGTTTGTCACGTAAACACTCGGATTATAGAGTCAAGCCTCGCTGCTTATGGGTTAGCCTATAACCTGAATACTAACCAATAAACAGGGAGACATGAATTTATAACCAAAAGACGAACCTCGACGGAAGAGAGCCGTGCTTTCAAGTAAACACCGCACTTGACCACGATGTTTTCATGATGTATTTTAGGACTGAAACTAAAGAAATGCAATGTCGCTCTGGAACCAAAAAAATATTATTAACTTTTTACAAATACAATATATAATGTAGAATATTAAATTATGTCTGTCTAACTGACAAGTTCAATTGTTTAAATCAATTGGCACAAATGAGGTTTGACAAGCATCTTCAAAAGGAGTTGTGCTCAACGAATTGTGATCTCCCCAGTTCCCTTTCGTTCTTTTGATCATTTCTTTCTTGACTTTTAAAGCAACAGCAGAACAGAGAAATAAGTCGTCGATGAAATTTCTTGGTCTTCGTTTTCTCGGCATTCTCATCTTTTAAACGTTTCTCTTTCTTGTGAACATTCTTCCCTTTCTTCTTTTTGTTCTTCGATTTACATTTATCACTTTCTTGCTCATCTTCATTCTTCAGACTGCTATCAGTCACACCAATTTCATCATCTAGTAAATCAAATGAGTCAATATTTAGTTTCAGTTCATATTGTAATTGACTGCAGTGAACTCCGAACAATAGCGACACCTTGGGACTCAATATTTGAGTCAAGACTTTAATAGGGAGTCGATATATCCGGTCTTTGGAGTTTGTTTAGTATTATAATTCCGTTATATTCATTCGACTTACCCTCAACTTTGTTTTGGAATCCTTCCTTGCCAACAGCATTTGGCCCATCTTTGTTGATGGAGGTCGGAAGATGGATGACTTGTTCTGATGACATCACACTTTCGATGTTCACACATCCAGAGCGAGGCTCTTCACACTCAGGTAGACACCCGGCAGTCGATACCTGAGTGGAAATGGCCTCAGCCCCAGATGAGTGAGCATCGGCAGAGTTCTGCCATTCAGAACAAGTAGGTCCACTTGATGGTAATGGACAGCCATCCTTCCAGATCTCAACATCAGAACTCTCACTGGATTTGATCTCGCCTCCGTCGAGAACAATCTCCACTTCATCATGGTCAGATGCTTGCAATGTTGGGAGGGAGACATCAAGTGTTGCGTCGTTGCCACCATGAACCAACGTCGTAGGAGTATCTGTGTTTGAAGGAGCATCAGGTTTGTGTTCGCCTCCTGTATCATCATGAAGAGATTCTTCCAATGTTGGGACGGAGACATCAAGAGTTGCCTTGTTGCCACCATGAACAAGAGTCGTAGGAGTATCTGGTTTGCACTCGCCTCCTGTATCATGATGAGATTTTTCCAATGTTGGGAGGGAGACATCAAGTGTTGCTTCGTTGCCACCATGAACAAACGTCGTAGGAGTATCTGTGTTTGAAGGAGCATGAGATTTGCGCTCGCCTCCTGTATCATCATGATGAGATTCTTCCAATGTTGTTTCCTTTAAAAGTTCTTTAATTGTAGCAGTCATTGCGTAGGAATCATTCACTGAAGTTGCGTCTTTATTTTCAGGAAGATTTACATCTTCTATGTTAACTTCACTGCTGTCAAGAAGAATCGTTGAAGACTCTGGAACAAAAACCAGATCATTCTCGCCTAAACGTCAATAAAAAGGATGTAAAACATTACAAATATTAAAGGAAACATTCAGCATTGTTTTGTTATAAACTGGAAAGCATTATATTCCTGGAGAACGGAGTAATGCGCTCTCGCACTAATGTAATCTGAAAGTTTGCGCGCGCGAATGAATTCACGGTGGAGTTAATGAGATAGTTGCATAGCAACGTAAAAATTAATTCATTTTGCACATAGAATGTGAATAAGAAAGCGGTAAAATTGTTAACGTTATTTCTTACAAAATAGTTTCAAGATATATTGTAATTCTTACCTGTGTTCTGTTCACCACCGAACGAAGTTTTAAGCTTTGTAACGCGAGCTTTAGTTTCGTTTAGACTTTTCTCGGCTGCCTCAAGCATACCATCGAGAGTCGTTTGCTCTCCATAAATCTCCAAATTTAGTAACTCCTCCACCAACTCTTCTTCGATTTCTTCACATTCGAAATCCTCGTCATACTCAAATTCAGCCATATTAGTTTTATTACACAAAAGTTTGGAAAAATTCCGCGAAAAATACGAACGCTACGCAGTCTCAGTCAATCAATTAAGACAAACTAATTATGACATCACAGCGTTTTTATACCGTGCGCCAGAACAAGGGATTGTGGGATATTAATTAGTACGTTGTCTGTGACGTCATTTGATGAAAGAAAAAAATTCGCGCAAAATCGCTTTCAAACCGGGCAATGTTCATTTGACGCGCTAAAATTGTCAACAAAGAGTCTTTGGTGGTATTCATGAGAATATGTCAGTCGACAAGGCTGTCTTATCGAGTCTTACGGGTCGTATCGATTCGACAGTATTGGACATGTATGCACGTTAATGGTCAACACACACCGGATTTGATTCGGCAACGCGACGTGATATTTCGATTATCACTGACAGATAACTTTTAAATATCTTTCAAAATTTCCTTTCGCAGTTATATTTACTTTCAAAAATTAAAAAATCGCTCTGCTTTGCCGAATGGCGTCCAGTGTGTCGGCCTTAGTTAGCTGATCATGGAAAATTCATGATCGGGAAAAATCATGCACTCCAAACATTTTTAGCAATAGAATTCACCATCATATGCTGCGTAATCAGACAGACTAATGAAACTTATAGTATCAATACACTACATCAACAATTACGAATTATATTATTTACCTCAGAACCATAAACTAATATCGTATTTGACCAAGTATGAAATTGAATGTCCCTGGCAATCGAGTTTTCTGAGAAGTACCAAGGTGGAAAAACAAAATGACGGTTAGAATCTTGTGAAACTACCAAAACGACATATCTTTCCACCTAAACAAGTATTGCAAGAATAAAATAAAACAGCATGAATAAATGTAAGCTGCTGTGGTTTGTAACTTGGAGTGTCCAAATGCCCGTTGAGTAAAACGTGAAGCAATTTATTATTTTTTTTTGCTCTAACGCAAGACATATTTTATTTTAATACGGTATTAAACCTACCTGATTTAATGAGGTTTTCATCAATAACACCTCGCTACTCTTAGTAATATCATTAACAATTCCAAGAACTTCCACACTTTTGAAAGGTGTGGAAAGTGCAATTTCCAATAATTGGATGTATGGTGATTGACTTCTATAAAGTGGTTTTGTTGACCCAGTTGACAGAAGGTGTATGAAGTCATTACTCTCGCTATATACGTGGAAATCTAAGCAGTAAGGTGTGTATTGCAGTTTGATATCACCATTGGCGAAGGAAGGCGTAAGTGTTGCTGGAGATGAAATTGCTACATATACCTGAAATTAAAGAATGTAGTTAGAAAGAACAAACTAAGATTTGCAGCTACAAAAGGTGGTCATATCATGTGGGGAACCTAATTCCACATACGCGTAAAAATTATGAGCCCACTGTTTGAACAATGTTGTGCTGCCCACAATATTGTTGAGCCTGAATCGGGTGTAACAATATTGTTCAACATTATTGACAACTGTGAACAATGTGGGCCACACAACATTGTTCAATCCAGTTTTCATCAATATTGCAACAACCTGATTGTTTTTAGCTGTGTATTTCGCAAGTGTCTGCACTGATTGACCCCCGCACGAATGACCACCCCTTCCTTCATTATTTCTATCACTTTATAAATGTTTTATACCTTCTCTGCAACGCCCTGCTCAGACATTAACAGTGCAAAACTAGCACTTTTGACAAGACCAAAGGAGGTAGCAAACACAATGTAGTTTCTTGTGACAACCATGTCAAGGAGACGTAGATTATTACAGTCTTCAGATGGGAAAACACTGCAGAGTGAGGAATTGGTACTTTGGTTTGGACAAACATCCAACCAGAGTGTTGTCTCTGGCATAAATGCTCCATAGGTAATGCCAACATAACAACCTAGAACAAACAGAAGAAAATGTTTTAACACTTTAATACCATGTATGTCCAACATGTATTTTCATGTAGATTTTCTTGGGTTTCAATCAAATGATATTTTATCATAATTTTACTCAAGTGTGAAGTGGGTGTCAATCATTGAACTGGGCCACTCGGGTCAACTAAAACAACAAAGAAACGTGATAGCTGTCAATGTATCTTATGTAAACGAGTTCTCCGACCAGGGCGTTTATATATACACGAACTCTTGACTTCCATGCGACATCATATGAAACCCATGCAAGAAAAAAATTATTATAACACAATTACCATACCTCCAACACTAGACATACTCTTGTTCTTAAATGGCAAGACAAACAAGATATCTCCACAGCATGGTGTTGGTTTGACCATAAACTGTCCACTGCTACTGGTCATCACAGATGACTTACCCACCACACTACCTAACTTTTGAGTCAAGTTAACCAATTGTTCTTTTGGTATAAGAATACTTTTAGTCTCATACAGACCAAGGCCATAACCAAGCTCCACTGTTATAAACCATGGCTCAAAAAGAACATCATTTACACCTATGAGATTATTCATATATAATGGATTTGAGGCAGTGAACACTGAACACATTTTTTGTACAAATAAATATAAGAATGTATCATGGCGTAGGATTTTCGCAGTGCACAGTGATTGAAAAAAATGCTCAAAAATAACACTTAATATTCTTTACAAGTGAATAGAAGTCCACATACAAGAATGCAAATTAATTTCCAAATAAAAAGTATCAAAATATTACCTGGTGTAAACACATTCCTTTGAATTTCAAGCCGCCAACGAAAGTTTGAAATAATTTCTTTCGTCTGAAATTTATAAGTTTTCCACCATGTTTTATTTCTGAATGTTATATAAGGATGTACACCAGACGAAATATACTTCTTGGTCAGTTCTTCGCTTCTTGCTAAGCTCCAATTTTGTTTATCAATGAGCTGACAAAACACGGAAAGCTTTTCATCATTTTCCAAAAACAAACGATTTTCGCGTTGTTTGAGTTCTTCCATAGACATTTCAGAGTTTGAAAGCGCAAAATACACATCATGGTTTTCCCAGAATGTATAACCACCGGCATTTGTGAAAAATAAAACAAGAAAAATTAAAATATACGCACAGAAAGCATTCATTTTTACTATTTTTAACAACTTTTTGACTCTTTTAAAAAATTCGGGTTTTGGCGGGAAAATTGGATTGACCGAGTAGAGACTGGATACGACGTCATATTTTACTGAGAACAAAAATTACTAACTTTGCAATGCACGAGATTATTGCCAAATGTTTTGGGTTGATTCTATCTAATTAACTCAGATTTTGACAGAAGAAAGACTTACCAAAAATTAGGAAATAAAACACGCTTTAATCAAATTGAAGCCGGCCTTTTTGGTACTTCACTTTGCACACAGCGAATCAGGGTACACGAAACTATCGCCCCATGTAGGTAATCCATGTACTCCTTAGATTCTGGATTCCACTCCTTGGATTGAAACTATATCTTAATCTTTCTTATCTTTATCTTCTTAATATTTCTATCTTACCGTTACTCTAATATCAATGACATTAGAACGGAAACTTGTACCCATTTTTGGAACCTTTTCATGCATGCACTAGACCACAATATCAGCCAATAATTATTTTAGACCACACACACAGATTATTCAACGCTTTTACTAAATTACACAACAACAACACACTGTATCACTATTAAAAACCACAAACATCAGTGAGTGCGGCATGTACTATATTTAAAACACAAGCAGGAGTGCTTTATAAGATATAAAACACGAGGGGTATATGACGATCGCTAATATTTAACGGAACTGCAGACCACGAACTGCGGAACTTAATAATATTACCTTTTTCTTCTTGTACAAATACTGCATGTCAGTAACAAGTGCAAAATAATCAAAACAAGACGCTCTGTAGAGCGTTAACTCGCTGGGACTATAGTATACGAATGAAAACTAAATTTTGTGACCATATTTGCTCATAATTTGGTAACCGCTACAGAAAAACAGAACAATTTACAGCCAGCTCAGGCGTTCACACCGGCCTCGGTTGGCCAAATCAGAACCTCTCATGTGAGTTTTGTTTCAACCTCGGTCCCAGAGTCTTTCTTAGAACGGTGCGAAGCAGCCTAGTCCCTAGGCCACTTAGTACGCCTATTGCGCGTTTCTGCATATTAATACAGCTCCATCTCTTCCAAAAATTAAGGCTATGTCTTAATTGTAAAAAGCATTCAAATTAAGACATTGCCTTAATTTTAAACCTAACCCCCACCCAACGCCTAACCCTAATCTAATCTTAGTCTACCCCTAATCCAATCCAAATGTGGGACTTTACACTTGATAGCCACCTTGTGTGGGTTAATCAACTTGATAAGATATATAGCAAGATTAACTCAAGATTGTTTCTGTTTAAACAAAAATCGTGAAGCTCACCCTTTTGACTCTAGAATCAGATTTTATTTCGGCCTAATTTACCCTCATTTTATGTATGGTATAACTATCTGGGGTAATGCTTCAAATTATATACTGCTATGTTCCCGCGAAATATTTCAATGGTTTAACATCATTTTAGAAATTCCAAAATGAGATTGAAATAAACATAATGGCGAACACGTAAAAATGTTTGTTTTATTGCCTATATATTTAGGACAAATGGTTCATTTGGTTTACATGTGATTCAACCGTGGTTTTTACACCACTAAGCTAAGTAAGGTAGGCTAAGCCTAAGGTCACTGCATACAAAAGTGTTAAAATCCAAAACAAATTTTTGGAATTTTCTAGATTTTTATTACAAAACTGCATCTTTTGGGCTCAATATTAAGTCTGTAGTGTACACAGAAATTTAAATTGTGTAAATGTATTGTCCCATAAACAGCAAGCACATATGGTTGATCAAAAGTTTGGCTTGTCCTCATTTGAATTCCAAAACAACCTACTGCAACAACTGTTCACTTAATAGCCTTTCTAATTTCAAAAGGCCATAATTACCTTTCTCTTCTATCTTTCAAATACCTTGCCCTTGGATAGGATCAGCATTCATTGTCTGCTACTGCTATTGCTGCTGTACTTTTGCTACTTTTCGAAATTCCTTTGCCTTTGTTTCAGGACATTGCATTTCTTTCCAGCTAATGGGAATCATTGATGCCCCTTTAACAAAAATGAAATCAGCAACGTCTAAGTCTAGTGCTTGTCATTTGTTGAATCTTCAGGACTTTTTTCCTGCAATTTGTCAGGTATAATTCCTCTACATTGGAAAATTCTTAAAGATGACATTAATGTTGTCTTGACCTGACATAACTGAACGGACACTTATAACAATAATAGTCATCTGTGATTTGAAATCTGTCATCTGAACTAAATTGTGATTTGAAAACAACCAAAGAGAATATATATTCATCTTGCTAGGTTTTTAACATGGCATATTCTACATACTTAAAAATTGTGGAAAAACAAGAGTTTTTAACACTAATAACAACTGTCCAGCCTGCATGGCAGGCAAATATTGCATTAGGCGTAAAAAAAAACCTGTGGTTCCGGTTCCCGACCAACCCTATTTTTTTCTGCTGACCCTATTATTTTTCTAACTCAATTGACCGTGCAACCATATTTTCTTCGGGTGGTTGTGGGCTGCTGCCAAAATGGGTCTGTTGTCACACTAATTATTGAAAAAAACATGAAAAAAATATTTAAAAAAAATTATTTATGTATCTACCGACCCTAATTTTTTCGCAATATGAAACCGGAACCACAGGTATTTTTTTTAGGCCTTAACATTTTTCTTCCTAGGATCCTTCTGTCATAGCAGAAAATCTTAGTTCTGTGTTTTTCGGCCTACCAATGCTTTCATGGTTAAAAAAGTATTGTTACAACTTTGTAACACAGTTATTCAGCTATCATTTAACAACTTTCAGAAATTATTGACTACCAGCCACTAATTTTGACATTCAAAATTGAAGTAATAAAGAAGAAATAACTGGTTTTCACCTGCTTCACTCATGGCAAAAATCACACCAAGTTCATTCTCAGCAGTTGATAAGGAATATGAATGTGAATCACCCAATGAACTCACTCTTGCTTGCACAATGTCACCAGGACGAAAGGATTTGTAAATTTCAACTTTATCTTTTTCAGTAGCCCGAATGTCTTCCTTTCTCAAAGTTCCACGAAATGGTTCATTCAGAGGACATCCTTCGACAGCAAGAATTGCCAGTTTACAAAACCTTGTATTCACTCCAGTAACCTGTGTGTATTGGGACATTTTATTTGCAAAATTGCAAAAAGAAATGTAATAAAATGCAAAAAAATTTAACTTTTAAATATATTGCAACAATAGTGCTGTTCAAATTTTAGTGTACTAATGTTTCAACATCATTCTGGCCTTATATTCCATGATTGTGATATCATATGGGAGGCTTAAATGAGATATGAACCATACCTTCGCAGTCACAACTGCACCAATAGTGGGTAAAACTTGACTGTGTTTATCTCGTATAACACTTATTACACTTTCCTAAACCCAAATCAGATAGAAATTGCATTCATTTTCTGAATTCATTTTAATCATTAAGTTGCAGTGCACCCAAATGCATCCCTACTTTATTATTTTACTCTGCCTGATGTCAGAGCGCTGGCATATAAAGAGCGCTGGCATTTAATAATGAGTTTATATCCATCGAGACGACTCTATTAGCGCAGCAAACAATAAAGTAGTGTGCATGGGCGCAATGCAGCTTAATGCGTTAACATGGTGTAAATCATATAATTCACATTGCCAAACGTTTAAACATACATTTTCGTTCGGTTTTTCTACCACCTTGAATCCAGACCGGTTTGCATAAACTTGACAAAATCTCACATATGTTCCTTCTCCAGACTTATATTCTTCGGCTGAGCCAAGGAATTCACCTGGTACTACAACATCATGCTTCTTTTTAGCCTTTTCAACACTCCCTTTCATAATAAAACGAGTTTTTCTTTCACAGAAACAACAAATCTAATTTTTCCAACTTTTCCGCCATATTGGAATTAGAGGATATCAAGGGATGTCAGAGGACAAAATTGGTGTTTCCAGATTTTTTGGTCAAATTTCCATAAATTCTACCACAAAATTCCAAGATATTACCTGGATATTACTGAAGAAATCAATTTTGAGACTTTCCGTCTTTCCTCCTTTCATTCTGTAGTATTAACCTATCAAATATTTTAATTTTGAATCAGATTTTTTCTTTCTATGCTTAGGAAGCGGGTAAACTGAACTCTTATCATGGCCTGTTAAGTGTTTCATTTTTCTATTTTCAAATACACATTCATCTCATTTTCTTACTATAAATGAAATATCTCTGGTTTCATTTGCATACCAAATGTAATACAGAAAAACAAATAAATATAGAAAGTTAGAAACAAACATAATCACAAGACATGCAAAATTTCCTAAAAATTTCACAGGTCAGTGATTCCACCACGCCACTGTTGCTAAGCAACGCGTCCAAAATGGATTCCACAAGAAGCGGCCACCGGCAAACATAATAATATTGGTTTTCGAATGGAAAAATGGCTGAGTTTATTTCGAAGCGAGGCCAAGCTATCGCAAATGGAACTTCATATAAAAACGCAGATACTCTAGAGAGTCAACACACAACTCATCGTGACATATTAAGTGAGTAATTGGCGCCCATAATGTCCTAATTATGTATTCATTGTGTGATTTTGACGTAGACAAAGCTACTCTTGGTATGCATTTAGTAGAGCTATTGTTTAATTGTGAAGATGTTTATATATATACTTCCTCAAGCATTCTATGTGATCTTTATGATGATGCATTAAGAATAAAATAATTTAAATTTTTAGCTTAGATTTTTTGAACTTCGAAATGTATAAATTTATCAATAAATTCCCTTCATATTAAAATTCTAAATGTCACAGAATATTATTGCAGTTTTGTATGAACCTGTTGATTATTAAAAATTCATACTTATAAATTGAACAATAAATATAATTCGTAAAACTAAACAGCACAGTGTCAGTTTACACAGATGAAACTTGAAACTTTTGTGTTTGCAGAGAAATGATGCTACATGCAATCAAAATCGGTTACCACGGCAACTAATTTAGCTTGTTTTCTTCATGAATACAGAATTTGGGAATAAAGTTTATGAGAGAAAGTGTGCTGAGTTGGAGAAATTGAGAGAAGAATCACTGGCTGAACTTGAAGTACGACTTTGGCAGATTGCAAATGAAGAACGAGACCAAGCTGTAAAGGAAACATTTCAACAAGGTCAACAAGAATTAAAACTGAGTCAGGAAAGTGCTAAGAAAGAAAAGGTGATCATTTTATTGTAAATATTGCACAATATTAGTCATGAAACTCATCACCACATGATACCAATACAATCATGCATTATTACCACCACCCTCATCATCACCACCACCATCTTTAACATCACCAATAACTACAATTGTCACCACCATCATCACCACCACTGCTATCATCTCCACCTTCATCTCTGTGGCTTTACAATTATCATCACCATTACCACCATATATATATATAATAATCACAACCATCATCATCACCACCATCATCATCACCGTCATTATCACCACTATCATCATTGCCAATAGCACTATCATCTCCAGAACATCTCCATCACCACCATTCATCACAACCATTCATCACAACCATTCATCACAACCATTCATCACAATTACCACCTTCATTACCACAATCATCACCACCACTATCATCATTATCATCATCATCACCACCAGCATCATTACAACCATCCTCATCACAACCACCATTACTTTCTGCACGCACATGTTTTAATACATGGCTACCTTGACTCATCAGGAAAAAGCAGTAAAAGCAGAATGCAGGAGGGTGGAAGCCTACATGAAGAAACAGGCCCAACAGCACCTCGAAGAGGCCAACCAAGCTTATCGAGTTCAACTGAAAGACGCTCTCCATGATGCCAGAATAGAATTTGAAGTGGAAAAAATGTTGGCAATTCGTGAAGCAAGAGAGGAAGAAATCGGCAGTGCTGTGGAGGAGGCAGCAAGAACAGCAGATGTGGAGGAGACGAAACGAAAGAAGATTATCTTGGAAGCTGAGAAAGAAAAAGCTGTAAGTTGGATATCATTTCTATTCATATCCCAGCCTATGTTTCTGTATATATTTTTGTAGCTCTGAGACAGGTAATCCTCATTTGTTAATCTCATAGGTAACAGCTAATAATTGCTAAACTTATTATGTACAGTGGGATCTTTTTTGACGAATTTAATGAACACTTCAAAATCCGATTTTGAGAATTTTCTGTCTCAATGAAGCTGTCTGTCTTAAAAACATACCCATCTAATCTTAGGGAAGTAGTCGTCTTGAAGAACACGTTTTAAATTAGGCCTAATATATACATTTTCTTTTGTGTTAATTAAACCATTGAGCGACAATAGTCTCGACTAATGAAGGTTCCGCTAGCCAAGAAAGCTGGCACTGAGGCAATGGGAGAGATGAGAATAGGCGTAACTCTACCCACATCACATCAGCTCAATATTCAATAATTAATATGAAAAACAAGCGGTTAACACAACGTTAACTTTTTTCTGTTCAAACATTTACCAGGAAGCTTTGAAAAAACTGAAATTGAAAATGGAAGAAGAAGCAAGAATCGATATCGCTGAGACTGAGAAAAGATGTCATCTGATGTCTTTGGAAGAGTTGCGGAAATGCGAGGAAACGCATTTGGCTGAAATGGACAAACTTCGTAAAAAAATTACACACCAAGATTCCGAATATGAAGACATAAAACATCAACTTTCACAGAAAGAAAAAATTCGTAGGAAAACTGAGACAAAATTACGCGAAGTTGTTGAAGAGTTCCAGAATTTTATTGATCTAACAAAAGGATTTACCAAGGGTCAATCTGAATTCCTGTTACCTGACGTCAACTTATTGCAGGACATGTTGAAGGGAGCTGTTTTATCTTGTCAGAAATAAAAGGAACTGTGAATTTTTATTGTAAATATAACACAAACAGAGTTATGAACTTTGTTTACTACAAATTTGTTAACGGTGATATTTATATATTTGTTGTAAAAAGTAACTAACATGTTTTTAAAACATATACAGCATTGACCATTGTACTAAAATTTCTTGTGGAGTTTAATTATCGGGCGTAGTTTTAGACTGGTTTACCATGTTAAGCATTGCCATGCAGCAGTCAAGTCTATAGAGTCAATAAGGCTATCGATATCAAATCCGGATGCAAGAAACAGTTGCACCTGATATAAATCAGCAGGAAAATTAAAAAGTTCAAAGATTCTAGATTTTTCGCAACGTATGGGGTCGATAAAACGATTTTCGTTAATATACCGTTCCCACGCTTTAATTGTTGGTCCGAATCTAAACATTTCTTAGTGTTGGACAAGGAAATGTATGTTGACAAGACTTACTGAAACGTAATCGAAGACTCACAAGTGTGTTCGGATTTCGTAATGATCTTAATATCTTAATTTTACCCTATAGTCATGCCTAAAACAAGGTATATATATTTACTCATTAGCTATTCAAAATTTATAAACATGGAATTGATATTATAAAGTGGTTTATAGCGGATTTGCGCATCAAGTTATTCAAGTATTGTATCAAGAGTGCCGCAATTAACGGTCTACAAGATTTTCAAATATTTGTTTTGTCATCGGCTTTATTTATAACCATGATGGATTGATGCAGGAAAACTAAGATTCAGCTAAATGATTTTCATGTACAAAAGAGTTGTTGTTTCATTCTATAGACTGAGGCCGTTCGGAATAGGAGAGGTCAAGCATTGTTGTTTATAGGAAGAGGAATTCTCCAAGCCAAGGAGAATAGGGGTTCTATTATTTCTATATATGGAGAACTTTGTGTTCCCTTGGGACTGTAGCGAGTGAGGAGCTTCCAGGTTTTAATTAGGTGTACATATTAGTATTTGTACAAATTTTTAACAATAATCATTATATTTTGTGATATAATTACAGACATTATATTCTTTTTTCATTCGAAAATAAAACGGTATTATGAAAGGATCATGTGACCACAACTTGGCCTTGCATTCAAGTGCGCCGGCCTCACAAACAACTGGAACTGCATCCGAGTTTCAAACAATTCGTCAGCACACGTCTTCCTTCCAGCACAACATGATTGTAATTCACAGACACAGACATGCCTTCGGAAATTCCTCATCTTTTGCTTTCCCCATGCATTTCCTCCATATGCATAACCATCATAGTGCATCACAACTCAACAGTTTTATATATTATTGAAACCTCAATTGTTGAGGTTTATAGCTTTTTTATCTAGTTCAATTGCACCTTAACAGTTTACTGAAGTTGATTACTGGATTGGAAATCTCTAACATTGGAAATCTTTTACCTCCGGAGAAATTCGGGATATGTTTATGCATGTGATTTGCACGTGACTGTATTTGGCTATTCATACATCAGGCTATGTTTCCGTAGCAATGTGAAAAAAACACCTATGTCTGTTCCTTTTAGGAATGGTATTCAGTTCAGAGGAATTATTGCAACGGAGCAATGTTGTTCGCTCAGCTTCTGAAAGTTGTACATTCCATATCAGGTTTCTGGTCAGCACAACGATATAAATTATAATATTGCCTATTGGTCATACATGATTACAAACCAAGACTCCAAGAGCTACTTATGCCCCCCTCTCCCAGCTTGTGGTTAGTGGTTACTGTACATGGATAAGAATGCTTGTCTGCTCCATATACTATACAAGACTGTCCAGTTTAAGGTTACAAATTGACAGTTCAAATGGTAAACATGAATGGGATATGATAATGGAGAATTGGAATAACTGCATAATTGGCGGGCCCCTAAGTCTTAGACATAAAATATTGACATAGTAGACAAAGCAAGCCGCATGTATTGTCAAATTGTCTGGTATATTGACTCCTTTAAGTTTCCAAACTTTCTATTTGGTATTTTTTATATTGGATTAAATTAAAATATTTTTTAAGTCGCACCCATAAGTAAGTGCAGCTGCGACACTCGTAGAATGTAGATCTTTCATGATCTCCCAAATTTACGTCACATGCATTAGTTGTTGAAATTCTCAGGGTGGCATGGAATTAACGGTAGATGAAGAGCAATAATCGGTTGACAGATGATTAAGTGTTAAAACGACTTAATTTAACATAATACTGGTCTTTTCTATCATATAGTGAATCTTAATTCTTGGCCATTCCTGAGTGAGAACTTATAGTCAGCGATCAGATGAACTGAAGAAAAACGATTGTTTGGAATGTATTCTTTGCTTGCACATGACGTCACTACGTGTCGTTAGGCGCCATCTTGGTTGATTTTAAAGTTTTGTCCAACCATTTAACATCGAAATGGTTGAGTTACTTTAATATTTTTGGTTTGTTTTGAAAACATCTTATTGTATTATGGATAGTTTACAATTTCTGGCACAATACGACAAAGAATGAAGAATACAGATTTTTAGTTGCCACGAAAATCAACCAAGATGGCGTCGATTGCAAACGAGCAATACGTATAGAAACTATTTTTCAAAATTCAACAAAATTCAACAATTGCTCTGCCTCTGAACGACTGAAGCTTTCTGTTCTAGTTTTATTCCTGTCCTTCTTAATATATACCGTAAATGTCAAACAAACCCAAATTAAGCTTATTTTCACTCAACATAGCTGTTTTGACAAAGATGAAATAGTTTTCATTCTCAAGCCTGGGACCAAACGAGTATAATAAGATTAATTAGAGTGCATGAGATCTCACGTGACCTTGGCTAGCTTTAGCTTTCCCAAGTTAGCAATATCATCCATTCTGTTGCAACGTGATTGGAACATTCATAGATTCATCAAACCTTTATTTTGTTAATCTAGACTCTAGAACTTGAAATATGTGAACTCTTATTCTCGTTTCACCGGGAATTAACTATATCTATATTGGTAAAAGAAAGACTAAACCCTTCAGCGCATTGCCGGATTTCTATACCTGCAGGCATTTGGCCAATAGTCAATACCAATGAAAACTTATAACCTGGACTGAAATCGAATGTTTGCATGCTGTGTAAATTCGCAATTTTTCTTCCCCATACAAGGGCCGCCCGACCCCAAGGGTAAATGCCTTTAATTTATTAATCAACATATAGGTGTGTCTGAAAATTATTGCATAATCTACATAACCCAGGGTGACCTTTTATTCATCTCATTGTAACTAACTGTGCTGGCGTTGCATGACAAGGGACGATCCTCGTAAAATATCAACCCCCAACAATGATAAGCAGCTTGAATGAAACCCCGGTTTTATAAATTATAAAATCACTCCGACAATCTGCCTTGGTGGTCGTCTCATTATCAATGATGTCACTATGAGCAGAAAATTTAATTAACACAGAACTAAATTTCTTTGTGCTTGGAGACTGAGTATGCGATAAAATTTTGGCTCCTTGCTTTCATTGACATTGTGCAAAAATTAAAAACTTTATAAAACTTTGCAAAGATAGAGACATGAACATTCCTATATAAAAACAACCAATTTCCGTGGATAAATAAATATTGTACAAATATTATCATAATTATTTCGGTGTTTTATTTAGTTTATTTGAAACATAAATGAACACTGTGAGGTTTTCTCACTCCATTTGTCATCATATGATTGGCTTGTTTAAAACGTCCAAACTGTGTGGTGTTACTCAACGACAACGTAAAAAACAAATAGAACTATTGAAAAATATAAAACGGACATTTCTTTTCTTTATCCCACCTTAAATTAGTTTATTCCCATCTTAAATTAACTTAACGATTCAATCAGTTCAACACTCGAGAGAAAAAGGATCGACTCAGGATTGAAAATTGTAAGATTAAACGCATGCACTTTATAAGACCAAAAAATGGTATATCAGTTTGTATAGTGTTATGTATTCAGTTAATTGTTAGAGATCAGTGTTGCTTGAGTGAAAGTTGCTACAGTGAAAGTATATAGAAAAATGCAACCATACAAACTGTCAAAAGAATTATTCACGCTCAAGAAATATACTGTATTACTGATAATTTTCTAACAACAGGAACATTTATACAACCGGAACTTTATACGTAAAAAATAATGTTTACATGTTCATTGTTGTGTAAAATATACGGTTTTTCAAATGGTAAAAACGGATTTTCTGAATAGTGTAATCTGTATAACTGTATTAAAAAAATATAATGTGTGGAGTTAAAAGGGGAATACACCATTATTCATTATGTATATAGTCATGCATAGCCATAGTTGGTAAACTCTTCAAATGACAAATGGTAAAAAAACACTTGAGCAAAAAAATTTAGATGAACACTCACATAATTCCTCTTCCCTGCCTGCCTATTTCCGGCAAGTATATCATCAATTATAATAACCTCTGTTCGCCTTGTTTGAACTTCAGCCAAGAATGTTAATGCGTGTAGACTGTAGTGGTTCTCACATATCACGTTACATCAACATCACGCGAAAATTTGGCCAACAAACAATCAGCATCGAGAAAATTCAAACACATTTTTCCCAGACGGATTTTCGTGATCTGGAATAACAAGATTGATATCATATATATATAGACAAATTTCTGATGCCAAATTTTGATAAGATCTATGTAATATTTATTAATTAAAGTGGTTGTTCTTCAATAGATATAATCCAATACACAGTATTCAATATTAAAGTAAAGCCATGAGAAAGAAAGTAAATCTTCAAAATTCCTAGATATGTGCCCTAATGTGGCGTCTTGGCAAAGTTAGAACCTGTTTTGATGTACACAAATCACAATGGTCAATGCCTTTTTAGTAGAAGAGTATATCAAACAAGGCTTTTATAACTTTGCCATAAACTCATTGGCATTGCAACTTTTGATGAATGCAACAAAGTTTTATTTGTATCATGAGTAATATCGAAACATGTTTATAATTAAAACTTCTGTCGTATTCATAACAAGTTTTGTGCTAGTACGATCATTTGGCAATAAATCGTAGTCATAGATATATAATTTAAATAAATAATACAAATGCAGAATAGTGTAAAATGACAATAAGAATTAAAACTAAAATAAACAGTGCTTTTTTCAGTTTCACATTTACCATTCATCTTCAGTAGCTGGTTGAGATGCTAATGTAGTTGAGAGACTGCGAGAGTTTTCTGACTTGAATCACCAAATGTCCACTGCATGTTTGGCAATATAACTTCTAAGTCAACAAAACTCATGACAAAACTATGGTATACATATAGAGCAAATGAGTGCTGGTTAAAAACATACGTCATATCGTGTTTTCATTTCTTTTTCTCCACGCATTTTTACTTTGTTCTGTTTCTGAGTTCTCTATTAAGTATTATGCAATAGCATGCATGGCAAACAATCATGTGTGTCTTTCGTTCCTATGTTTATTCGGCAAGTATATGTTTCGTAACATGTATAAAATGTAATCTGTATGCGGTTTATCTTACTAAATGTTTTCATGCATGTATTGTAGAAAATTCTATCAATTCCAATGTGGTGGACAACTTCCTAATTTATGTGTTATAATAATACTAAATGTTTCCTTCTTATACACAGATTAATAAACAATACTTCTAAACAATGGTCATTAGTGAGTCCCACGCATGTTAGTATAGTTATAAAGTTTTGGTGAAATCATTTGAGACTAAACATTTCAAATAAATTACTAGTCGATCGGCCTACGTTTTATGGTATTACGTCTTATTACGTCTACGCCTTTTTTGTAATTGAATAGACTTCCTTACACGTTCATGCAGGCTTGACATTTCTTGTTCGGGATGCCGATATAGATTGAAAATTAGAAAATATCTAACAAATCTTTCAGCAAGGTCAAGGAGACCATTTCCCTGTACGCGTATGAACATCGTTCCTCAGTTTATTGAAGGAGAAGAGCGTATGTTATGATATTTTCACAATGTTTAACTAATTTCATAACTTTCGTTTCTTTGTGTAGCATAAAATTCAGTGGCAAAGCTAGACATAGCAACAGGTCATGCTAGCCTGTGGCATAGCTGTGACCAGTTGCCCTGCATGGCTAGCTTCGCCATGCACTGTAGCATTATAAATGTCATTGGTTTCTGCGTTATCCAGACATCTTTGCTTTTGGTGGGTCGTGAAGGGATAAGATTGGAATCGGTCATGGCCGCGTGGGTGTAGACTGGGGATGTAGCCTAATTCGCTCCTTCATGCCTCCTGGGAAGGGGATTTTGTAGGTCAGTACGTTGGCTAATATTAGGGTTCAGACAAAAGTTTGGCTAGAAAATCGGATTGAACTCGATCCTCCCACGCATTTATGACTCTCTCTTTAAGGTCGACCAGAGTTTTGTAGTTTTCTAGTTTGTACCATGTTTTAATTGTCACAAACGTTTTAACTTTTAAGTCTATTTTTGCTAAGATTCCTAGGAATGCCAAGATTTCCTCGTCATGCACAACAAAGATTTAAAAAAATAACGTATTCTGTTACAATTTTCACCCTTAGCTGTGACGTAATGTGATCAATATAGGGCATTATAATGGTTTTGTAATTCCTCAATCATTTCGAACGCGTCATTTTGTGTAGTGCATCACTACGACATCACGTTTCGGTATAAATGACCAAATGAGGCTAGCCCTTTGAATGTCCAATGCCAATGGCATAGTTCAGGTCAGGTCAGGAAAATGGTAAAAAATGTTTTGAAGCTGTTGAAATTCAGGTTTATATGCTGAGTTCTTTGGTCCTTTGGATCCGACTTCGAGCCATGCAATATAAGAGACTTCGAGAGTATATATATATAAGACAAACTTGAGTTACTCGATCGGCTGCTCATGTTTTATCTAGTACTTACAATTTTAACTCGATTTTTCAAGGACATGCAGGAATACAGGATTGTTTACTTCTTCAGTGTTGAAGTAAGCAATGACATGTTTATATGTCAGCGTATGCATGCTATATTGAACCGTAATTAATAATGGTGATTGTTCGATGTTATTGAGGTTTGGTTTTTTTGTGTTTTTTTTTTAAATTTTAATTTTGCCCATATATCATAACATATTTACAATTTTTAATACAAGGGGCCTACCAGAAACCTTAACAGGTTTTTATTTAAGACCCCTATAGTTATAACTAGTGAAAGTATAAAGTTTATAAAATACATAAAAGAACTAAAATTGTCTAAAAATAGAAGAAGCCGCAGGAAGAAGTGTGTTTATCTTGTTCTATACCTTTTCCCAGAAAGTTTTTCTGTGTTACCCTAAATAATGGATTAGTAAAAATTAAATAACGCCAAGTATATGACGTCAGTCACGTCCACTCGCTATCAGCATAGTCCTTTGAAAGATCTACAATACGTTCCAACTTCAACAACCCCAAAAATACGTCACGCATATCTGTTGCGTCACTAACGTTGGTAGAAACATCCAAACATGTTCACAATTTTAACCATATTTTTGCCAGAATATCCAGAAACCGCATTTATACATGCATTTATAACAATAGCCGCTAAACCGATCTAAAATGGTACCAAGTTTTATCGCTTTTAGAAAAGAATTCTCCGGAAACTACCGAATTTCCTCATTACTAAAACCTATATAGTTTCACCAAAATTTATTGAAAACTGGGCCTGGAGTTAGGATTAAAGTTCTAAAAATAAGATAGGGTGAGTAAACATGCGTGTTATGTAGTCAAAATGAACTGCCAAATGTCGTCAATATGGACACCGCGTTTCCGTATAGTCCCGCCTTTGCTCTTGAATTAGGACGTTCAGGAATATTTGACACGAGAGCACAACGTTAAGTGGAAAAATATTCAGAAAACATGGGTGAAGCCCATGTTCCTAGACATCATGTACCAAATTAGTAGTCGCAAATGTTTTCCATTAAGCCTTACAAGTCGTAAACGGCCGTGACGATGCCAAGGCGACTGATGTTATAGACTGTCAATATATCTCTACAATCAGAAAACACACAATCCAGACATAATCTTCACATCGTCGAACATGATTCAGTCACGACAGTTGGAAACCAAATGGAAACCAATACGCCGAACAAAGAAAGCTACTACAACCTCATGAAGCGTGCAAACATTTTCATGTTTGTTTTAGACGCATAATTAGTTCAGAGAGTTATCACGCCCGCGCCTTGGCCAATGAAATTCGGATCGAATCGTTTGAAAATATGAAAAATATAGTTACCACGACAGGTAGCACTATATAGTACATACACGTATACTCTCGTGTTTTTAACCAACAGATTCCATATCATGCAGTCATTTTTTTAAAATTCGTTTTAATTCTAATTTGCTGTACATGCAGATACGCCGAATATTACTACTTGTCTTATGACAACATAAAGTGGGGTACTCGAGCAGCAAAGTAGTCCTAATTGGTAAAAGTCACTCCTTAATTCTTACTGATCTAAAACTACAAGTTTTGCATATTTCTCTGCCGGTAACTGCGCCCATTGAGTTAAATGGTTACCATTTTCACAGTTTCCATCTTCGGGTAAAGGCAAAGCTGAGCATTTTAAAAATAGCATATTTTATATTCAATTTTGCCGGTGCTGACTTTATACTAAAGTGGTGTAAACTGTGAAGTGGGGATTAAGATTTTAGTCATACTTTGTCAGCTTTTCAAGTTGCCCATAAGTGTTTAATCCATTCCGATAACAAAGAGATCATTAAAAATAATGACTTAAAACCACCATTAGCAAATCAATCTGGAAGAGTACCAATATTTCATAATACATAATTATATATCTCTGGCTGAAACGGTGCTAAAGCCGTATTATCAAAAGATCGTGCAGCTAGCAAAGCTTATTACAAGCTTATAACAACTTTTACGAATACGAAAAAAGTGATTACCTATATAGTCATAGACTACTAGGAATACCATGACCAACCTACTATAGAAATATGATTAAAATTATGCCTAAGCCTATATATAAGGCTATAATAACACGTATAAACAATTTATAAAACACGCACTCTTTCACTACCGTACCACCCAAAAAATATTTTTGAAAGTATTTCACTGCAGAGAACTCACTCCTATATTCGTCTGAAACATAAACCTGACTATGTCGGCCAGCCACCAAATCCACTTGTTATACAAGCATCCTTGATCATGGCATGGGCCAGGCATAGCATTTTTCGGCATGCATTCACTATAGTCTATATTATATATACCTCGAAAAATTGCATATACATATACACGAGGTTTGAAAAGGGTGTAATTTCACATGTTATTCTTATATTTAGTTTAATTTCCTTCTACTACAATACTCGGCTTATTTTGGTAAAAAATTAGCAAATTCAATATTAGAGTGACGTCGACCAGTGGTTGCTCGCCGAAATTTCAAGCAGGCTAAGTGACCAACTGGCACTATCCCGACTGAAAACCTATCCTGCAGTTCGAACCAAATCTTCTAGAATCCACCTCAAATGGAGTGCCAAAAATCCTTACTTTTACAACTAATACAGGAGAAAAAGAGGCTTTTAGCTTCCCGTGTGGGCTTCCTTAATTGTTGCTGCTTCTGTATGTATGTACCTAAATGATTTCTGCACTGTTTTAACTTTTAAGTATCTTAAATTGTAAGTGTATAGTAAAACTAGCAAATTAAATTTTTCAATGAGCTGGAAGTATTTTAAGTATTTAAAACAATGCATGCAAAAGTTCATGTTTTTTATTAATCTGATTAGTTTGATGCCACCCTAAAATATATTTTCATATCACATCCCATGCTGCTCAACGTTTCACGAATATTTCTACCATATGTCTCATACGGAAAAGCCTCACCCGTGCTTGAAGATCACATTCAATAAATCGCTGATTAATTTCATTAACATTCATGCTGGCTTCCGGTCCGGAGATGCCTGCGTCACAGCCCCTCGAGAACTCACGCCCGTTCATCACTTATAAAGTCCACGAGACGCGCTAGAGAAGGCAGACACAGTGTTCCTTACCGAGAACAGACCAAAAGACAGCTATAATAAAGCAAAATACAAAATGTCGGGTAGTGTTGTATGTCTAATGTTGTTCGTGGCTTGTCTGTGTTTATTGCAACAAGCGCAGGGATCGTTCATGATGATTCATCCACAGAAAATGTTCTGCGATGCGGATTATGGTAAGTATACAATTACTAGTTTCATTTGTACATTGAAGGTTTGTGTATATGTCAATACTGAATCGTGCCAAACTTTTCAATTTGCGCACGAGGTGCGAAGTCGCAGTAACATGTGAAAGCAACGATTCAACTGCAGTTGTGTAAACAGATCCCTTATGCGACGAATAATTTCGGTTATGTTTACAAGGTCATTTATTGCGCAGATAAGAAAGTCAGATACAGTCAACTGATTTGTCTGTCCAACGCAATTCTTGAAGCTCTAAAATAAATTAGTGAAGCAGATTCAATTCGCACATGCATTTACAGTATAGTTGATGGTTATAATATCATAAGCCAAAAGTTTCGTGCGCGGTTGTCTACTACTTATTAATATACGATCACTATTGAGTATTGTATACTCTTTAGGATTATATGGTCTAACGCTAATAGTCTCAGAGTAAAAAGCGCGCAGTGTGCAAGCGAAACCGAAGGGGACACCGCGCAAATCTTCAACCACAATGTCAAAGTGATGAACCGACAATCGAACAACGACGCGTATTTTTCTAGTTTAGCTAATTTAGGCCCTTGTTTGTCAAATATATTAAGGGAACACAACTGGATTATTTTTTTAAATATTTTGACATTTATAGCATCTTCGAACTATTTTTTAACTTGATGATGGTATAGCCACTAGTAAAAGCAAGCAAATAAAATAACCCTAAAAATCAAATTATTTGAAGGAACAAAGAATCTTAATAATATTCAAGCTAAAATCTTTATATCCGCTTTCACAACGTCAGATATTTAGTCTGATACAGGAAACTTTCCAAAATTCTTTGTGCCTTGATATTGTTTATGACTTGAACAGTCGTTGAAACGTGACTACACGATATGGGGTCAGTTTTCCTGCTTATTGCAAACTTATTTGCATTATAAAGCAACACTAGTTCGATAGTCATTCAAAATCAAGCAATTCATTTCCGAGTCATTCAGTAATTGATCGACGAAATAGAAATAATTATAGGTTGCTAATTTCATATAAAGACTTCCTATACTGTATAAAGCATAGTCCAGATTTTAAGACCTTTGTTATACCGCGAAATCATCCTTGTCCTTGTAAAAACAAAAAAGGTTTTACAAATCTGTGAAACAAGGAAGCAAAATCTTTCGCACGATAAAAGCCCTGACAGAGTTGACCTACACGGGGATGAGAGTTGGCGGAGAGGACATTTCAAGCAGTCTAGATTGAAAGTTTGGCGACTGTCCCAACTATGTCTTAACTTAAAAAGAACACATGAAAGTATTGGGAAGGCATTAAGAATAGCTAACCAAAGTCGCGTGACTGCTCCACATGCACTCTCATAATCATCCTCTTAGTCTTGGCTACAATAATTTATCAATATATACATTTTCTCCTTTTTATGTTTGCATGATTCGAATGCTTCCCAATAGGGTTTTCCCCAAGGCAAATATACCATCTGGGTATATTATGACTACCATCCATAAATGTTTACATTTTTCCCATTTTCTGCGACCTTATATACTTGCATGGAATATGTTGTAAGAAGTTTCCAATCCTTCACATAACACCAGTTAGGATTTGAAACTCGTAATAAAACACGACTTCTGTCTTCTTGGGGGGAAATGAGCATGTTTTATGATTTCCCAGAGACAGTCTTGACCTAAGTGATGCATAATAGTTGATCATATGGATGTGTATTTTGACTACCACTGTCATCATTCAATCATGTTTACATTTTTTCTCGGTGACTATATGTCCCATGACGTATCTCTCTCTGACCTTGGTCCTGGACAGGTGGTCAGTCGAGTATGTTTCTATTAAAACAGTGAACTGTTTTGTATACGTATATTTTGTCTAACTTAAGTATCAATATACTTGCACGTAAGAGATTGCATAATAAGGCACTGCAGGCTTACCACAGTATTTTTAAAAACTTTTCCAATGTTGATAGGGTTCCGGTTAAGGTGCTGTTAAAATTATTCTCAACTCTTGTTTCCCCTATTCTGTTATATTGTTGTGAGATATGGGGAGTATATTTCTTAGGCAGATTGACAACGACCGATATGTTCAAGAACAAAATTTTCAACGTGATTTCAGATATTGATAAGCTACATTTAAAATTTTGTAAACGTATTTTAGGGGTCCACCCCAAATCTACCAATCTAGCAGTGCTAGCTGAACTAGGCAGATTACCAATGTCTGTACAAATTTCAACTCTAGTTATCAAATACTGGTTAAGAATAAATAGTCCAAATTACAAAAAGCAATTAGTAGGTAAGGCAGTACAGGTGTGCATTCAATCAAGGTATCAGGGTGTGAAATTCTCTGATTTCTTACTACATATGTGTGATTTCGAACCTTTGAGCAGTTATGAAATTCAGTCTAAAAGTGATATTAGTAATTTAGCTAAAGCTATTAAGAATGAATTATGTAATAGATATAATACCATATGGAAAGATCAGATTCAACAGTGCAACAAATTACGAATCTTAAGCCTTGTAAAACCAAATTGGCATGTTGAAAGTTATTTGTCTTCGGTCAGAAATGTAAAACACCGCCAAGCGGTTACAAGGTTTAGGATATCTGCACATAGATTTCCAGTTGAAGTCGGTCGATATGCTAATATTGACCATAAGTTACGCCTATGTCCAATTTGTGATTCAAATGATATAGGTGACGAATATCATTATTTTTTAAATTGTAAAAATTACAAGTTAGAAAATCTCAAAGAAAATTTCCTGAAAGAGATACTGGAAATTAATAGTTGTTTTAGTTCACTAGGTAAAAACGACCTGTTTCTTTATTGTATATCCATGAATGACAAGAGTTTAACAAATTGTACAGCCAGATACATTTACGAGTTAACCAAGATTTTCTCTGACTGTAGTGTTTGTAATTAAGTATTAGCTATAGTTTTATTGTTTGTATATGTATCTGTTATATTGTAGTATATCCTATGAACCAGTAATGGTGTAATGGAATAAATATATTATTATTGTATATCAGATATATTAATATAGTTTCATGTTTCCCTAAAGACAGCCTTGAGACAAATGATACAATGAGCATCAGACGATCAGAGTTGCGATGGAGACCATCATCTTCAAAATGTTTATATTTTCCCATATCTCGTATGTCAACAAGATAAGACAATTGGCTAAATCAAATCACGAGATATCGAGATATAAACTGAAATAGAACAATTATTAACCACGATTTAACAAGCCACATCCTTCCGACCTTCCTAATAATTATATTACAGTAGGTTTCTAGATTTTTGTCAACGATTGAACGTTCTATTGACCCGCACATGTTTACGTTATAAGAACCCAACACTGACCACAGCACAGAGCAATTGTCACAGCCTGTCACAGTTAAGCTGAATCGGATAACTCAAACCCCACCAGGTTCAATATTTGCGGAGAAAGTTTTGGTTATGGTTCAATGGTGTAAAGAAAACAAATGGTCATTATTCACTTAAAAATGAGTAAAAATTAGGTACATTCGCGTACACGTTTAAATGTACCAATTATCCGTTAAATTATGATTAGGAATCCACAGTATTACAGCATATCCATTACATCCAGTTCTTTACAAAAGCTTCAAAGGCAGCAACAGGGAAATGTTCGCGCTAAAAAGTGAATAGAAATTGGGGTTTTCCTAAAAAAACAAAAAAAACACTTGCAAAATTTGACCGGAAAGTATGTGACTTATGTAATGCAGAGAAAACTGTGCAATTGTGAAAAACTTGAAAATGTTTTGGAATTGAAATTCAATTACTCCATCTTCAAAAGCATCTGTCAACAAAGAAGTAAAAACAAGAGAACCTTTCTGGGTCACTAGAGTTTCTGGTGAGATTCCAAATCGTGGTTGAAAGACGAATAAGACTGGCACTGACATAAGAGAACATTGGCAGCACTAAATAAACCGGGCACTGGTTACAGTCAAACAATTGCGAGGATTGATTGTCAAACAATTGCGAGATTGATTGTCAACTCTCTTGCCCTCTTTGACGCACCCTCAATAATCTAATAACTACACCTACAATCATGCCATTCTGGCTGATACGAGGCTAAATACTGTAGCTTCTGAGACAAAAGTTAACGTTTTCGTGAATCGTTTTTAGATTTTAATCACTGACGTATTCAACTATTCTAAATCCTCTAATGCAATTTTACGTAAATTCATAAGAAACCTTGCTATATGGGACAACAGGACGTTCGTAAGATCAAGAAGATTAGATCAATTAAAATACTAGTATAAAAGAGAATGCTATAATTCATCCGGTCCATTCAATGGCACGCCGATTTTGTTTTTCGAATTTATTCCGTTGAAAAGTGCTGTTTCCGCTTTGTAAGACAATTTGCCTCTGTGCGTTTTTGGCATCAATTTAATTAGGTTATGTATAAAGACGCATTAAACGTAAATGATACGGTTGCCGGCTTTTGGGATGGGCCTCGCGCACTAAGCTGGGTTGTGACCTATAAAGTGGGAACATATGTTGAACAGCATGGATTTTTGGCATTTGGTACTATTTACTTGAAAAACAATTGATGACAAAAATAGCTGTCCCAATTCTGAGAAAAATATGATTTTATTATGTGCATTTTACATAGGATAACGCCCAACTATTTTATTTCACTCTTTCTAAAGTTGAAAGAATTAAAGATGAATACATGATTAGAAATATTATATCCTCAGTATTCAGCGTTTAGACGTATTTACCTAAATCTCATTTTTGCTCTGCAGTGTTCAAGTTTAAAGCGATGCAAATGGTGGAAGACAACAATGCTGGTCGTACAAAACGTATGGTGCCTGGCGGAAACAGGCAACCCAAGAAACAAATGGTTGAAGTTCAACGTATTTACAAGGGAGAGAAAATGATGATGCCAATGATGAAATTACAAAGAGATACAGACACTCCTGTCGATTCGTTTTCTGCAGCCACAAAAATTGAAGCGGGAATTCAACTTGGTAAGTCATATACCATGTCCGTTAACATCTATATACACTCGTTGGTAATTGGGCATGAATAGTTGTAGATACTTAGCTTATTTAAACTCATCTTAATTACAAATGCTCACCTTTAAGTAACAAACGACGAGGCAACATGCTCTCTTTTTAACATGCATTGAAATCAATTTCAAAGCATATTGTCTATTTTCATCTCTGACTATTAATCTTTTACGACAGTAAAAACAGATAAAACAGTGTCGACCAACCCATATAAAACACGTTTAATGTTATCTAAATTCTCATATTGATAATGTTGCATGTTTATCTTAACTATATACTAATCAATTTTATAGGAATGTACCAAAAGGAATTCAAAAAGAATGAGAAGTGTGTTTTCTTTGGCAAAATGTTCCGTTACCGCAACGACACAATGATGCCTGCAAGTTCTCAGAAAATGATGGCAAATCTTGGAAATACAATGGTCGAATCAAGTATCACGAAAATCATGAGAAGAGGTGAGTGTATAGTGCCAGTACAATAATATTGATCATTATGACATTAGATATAGTATTGGGATAGTGATATTTAAAAGAATTGTTACAAATCTGCAAACAAGTTGTAATAAGGTTGTTGTCAAGCCGATATCAGGAAGTATTCGCGCTGCTTGTTCCCAGTTGTTACAAACTTGACAACAGCAACAGATTTGCTACAACACATTAAACATATAGCTGTTTGGACCAAGTTGCTACGAGCTTGTTGACAATACATACATACATGCATACAGACAATGTCAATGTATAGACTTGTTGTCTTGTTGGAACAACTTGTTACGAGTCTGTTGGCCTTATCAACCTTGTTACAACTTGTTTCAGACTTGTGAACAACTGGGAACAATCTGGTTGACAATCTGCGAGCTTTTTACGCGTGTATACTGCTCATGATTTAGCAGTGATAAAATACAGTACAAAAACAATACAGTAAGCCAGTAGGAGAATACTAATTTTTTAATATTTTCTTTTCTCTACAGGCTTACGCAGGAAATACGCCAAAGGTTGCAAACAAGGGTGTAAAGTGAGAACAGTTTACTGGAACACAACTACTAAAAGCAAGGAATTCTGCGACTGGAACGTGAATCAATTCCGCCCTCCACAGATAGATTGCCGCAAAACCACGCAGTTCTGTTACCGAGGCAAAGATGGCTACTGCCAGTGGAAAGCAACGAAGGATTACAAAAAATGCTTGAAGAGAAATAAATTGCCTTGAACATTATCTGTGACTGCGTCGGAATTGTCAAAAAAACGTAGCAAAACTCACCTGGCTTGGGGGACGGTGCATGCGCCTTAAACCGGTTAAAAACCTTTAAATTTAACTATAGACATGAAGGGGAAATATTTGTAAAGAAAAATATTAAACATTACATATACGTTTAGTTTTAAATCTTGAGCTTGATAGGAAGCGAGGAATGAACATTTTGAACAAGACTGTCAAGAGACTAAACATATATAGTAATGCCCATGACGTGTAATATTTATTTGGCGTATATATATATATATATCCAATGTTTCCTTAAAACATTTAACAATTATTCGCCGAAGGCGAGGTGATTATCGGGGAATATTCGCCGAGACGAAGTCGAGGTGAATATTCCCCGATAATCACCGAGCCTGAGGCGAATAATTGTTTTAGTATTTTTGTGTTTTTTTTGGGACTGAATTTATTAATTTCGCTTATTTCTTTATCAGCATAATAGGCCGTCGTCTGGGGTCCCAAAATGTTTAGTTTCGTTGCACACCTCTTTAAACTAAAAAAATACATATTCTTATAAATTAAATGACGCTGAATCCAAATCTAAAAAGTTCTTGCGGGTTCACCCTGCAGTTTTTTTGTAAATGGCGATCAAAATCTTAAAATTTACCAGTTTCGCAATAGCATTTTTACTATATGCCATACCTCAAGATGTGAACTCTTGGAACCAGTCGCTCGCGGGCCATAGTGAAATTATACAGGATAGGTCACTTCCGCCTACTTTTGAGATATGTGAATTCAGATTTGATGTAAACAATGAGATTTTCAAGGTTCATATTATTACCTGCATTTTGAAAATTTCGATTTTGTTATATTCACCAATCAACTTGTAGGGTTTGTTATGTTCACTTGTGCAAAAATACTAAAATTATATTTCCATTGTGGTCAGCGGTTAGCCTGCGAATAAAGAATCTATTTATATCGCTTATTCCACTGGAGGTAAACGTTTACCTCCAGTGGAATAAACGACATAAATAGATTCTGTATTCGCAGGCTAGGCCCGCCGAATACAGAATTATATCGTCTATCGATATAAATAGATCCTGTCTTCGCAGGCTCGGCCAGGGTGTACCACTACCAGACATATTCAATGTTGTTATGTGTGTACAAAACACAAACACTTTCTAATTTGTAAATAATAGAAATAGCGTATATTTGTAATTGTATAGTCAAAATTGTTCAAATATGTGTGCGCAAAATATATTGTATGTTCCAAAGGCAAATAGCAAAGCCAAAGGTTACTTTAGTGTTCGTATACGGTGTGAGTAGCTAATTCTAGATGAAACCATACACATATCCAACCCTAGTTTTTAACATTAGGGACCGGTCATAAAGTATTAAACTGCTAGGGTGGGCCGGAGGGAAAAATAGGTTTTTGAAAATAAACCCGATGGCCCATTGGCCCATCCTGAGAACCTAGAAAAAATTTCAAAGCCCATCGTAGGTCATTGGAAAAATTTCACGTCCCATCCTGAACATGCACAGTATAGTCAGTATAGGCTATAGCAGTCACTTTGATCAAACCATGCACTGTAGTAGTTAAGTTATAGTAATGTATGAATTCAGTGCAAACAGGCTATATCAGTATATGTGTTTCCGAGTGTGTTTCATGGCCCTGATTCATTTGCGTCAAAAAACAAATTGATGGCCCACCCAAACTGATGAAAATAATTCCATGGCATCCTTATTTCCTCCGGCACATCCTAGCAGTTACTTTATGACCGGTCCCTTACTTATTTTGACCTCAAACTATGTCTATGACAATCTAATCTATGTGTTCCTTACACGAAGTGGTATTGAGTAAGTGTATGTGGGACTTTTTCTGATATAGGCCTTACTGCCCTCCTGCTAAAAAAATCCTGCATACGGCGCTGTTTACAATTGTAAAAGGTGAGGGGGAAGCGAGGGCAGGCGAATGTTATTGTAATTGGGTCAAACGGCTGTATATACATATTAATTGATTAATAATTTTAGAAGGTCGAACAGTAATGGCACTGTCACTGAGGTCGACCCAGTGGTAGCGGAATTAGATTACATATGGCTATATTAAACTAAACTGGCGTATTTTGTGAATACTTAGCCTTCTTTAAATAAAGCTTTTTATTATTATCTAAGGTTTCAAAAGTTCTTGAAAGATAAAGTAAGAGTTGTGCAGCCACTGCTCCTGAGTCCTGGCTGTGTATGTGACCCCTTACCTGGCTTTATCCATGAACTTTGAAGAAATTTCATAACGTAGGGTGCATAAAGTTGAAGAAATTTCATAACGTAGGGTGCATGGGAATTTACTGCCCGACGATTGAGGTATTTAGATAGTAGAGGATATAACTAGAAATCAAGAAGTAAAGATACAACTCAACCTTCAGGCTTGTTGAGCTTAATTCCGAGGAAAGATCAAAATTTGCATTCCAAAGTATAATTAACCAATAAAAATCACAGGAATTGAACCAATCAAGAGGATGGCTTATTAATTATTATGTTTTCGTAGACGTCCGACCAATGAAGCAATAATATAAAAGAGTTGCAAACAAATTAAAAATCATTCAGAATTTCAGAAATCTAGCTCTCTCAGAAGATACTTCAAGAAGAATCCAAAAGCAGCAAGAATGTCAGGTCGTGGTAAAGGAGGCAAAGGTCTAGGAAAAGGAGGTGCCAAGCGTCATCGTAAAATCTTACGAGACAACATCCAGGGAATTACAAAGCCCGCCATTCGTCGTCTCGCTCGTCGTGGTGGTGTCAAACGTATCTCTGGTTTGATCTATGAAGAAACTCGCGGTGTCCTCAAAGTTTTCCTCGAGAATGTGATCCGTGATGCCGTCACCTACACCGAGCACGCCAAGAGAAAGACCGTCACTGCCATGGATGTTGTCTACGCCTTGAAACGACAAGGACGAACCCTCTACGGTTTCGGCGGTTAAATTTCGTCAAGAAGATAAAGAAATAGAAAAAACGGCTCTTTTAAGAGCCACCAAATGTATAAAAGAATACAAACGAATTCATCCCGTGCATACGTACAAACGCATCACAATTTAAATCGCTGTTCCACGACTATGATTTTGCTAGTCTATAGTATAACACTTTCATCAGTGATGCAAATGACTTTTAAAACATTCCCCTGGGGCTGCTCCGTTCCAACTCTATTCCCTCCGTTCCAACTCTATACCAACAATTCCCTTATAAATTATTCCAGTAAACTCCCTGAAATTTGAACGATAAATTAAAATTACGACAATTTAGCGTATAAATTAACGAAGAGCAAACTCTACCGCCCTTGCACTTCTTGATTAAGGTACGTTTGAAAGAAACAGGAATACTTTAAAGCTTGGCAAATTAAGTGTAGTAACGTATACTTTGGCTCAAATACAACAATATAAGCAATTATATTTTTGCCGTTCCAGGTTGCCAAACTCTCTATTTGTTCATTGGCGAGAGGAACTATATGATGGCATTTGATTAAGTATATATATTTTTAATTTTATACTGCTTCCTGTGGTTGTATAGCATATTGTTCATTCATAATTGTCTATCTACATTAATAAATATCTATTATATAGATTGGCAAACCTGGATCATGTTTTGCAACTTTTTTCTCATGATGTCTTCAGGCAGAAAGCCTAGACCACAATCAGGAGCAATAATCAATCGTTCTCGAGGGACACGCTGTAATACTTGTTGAACTCGATCTCGTATCTCTTCAACACTTTCCACTCTGCTACTGGCTACCTGCACTACGCCTAATATGATCTAAAATGCAACAATTTTATATTTCATAAACCATTTCACAAACACTGAAACAGAAAAGTCACCACTGTTCATGATTTCAGCGCAATATGTTAATTGCAAATTCCCACGCAAAAGTTAGGATTGTAATTTAGAACGAACGGTGATTTCAACGCACATACATTAACTGCGGAAAATATTAATGAAATTATGAAAACCGAGGCAAATCGCATTCCTCATCACGCATTTAATAACTCAGCTGAACTGATAAGCTTTATTGTTGCAGCTCACTATAAGCTTTGAAAACACAAAATCTTGCCTATCTAATCATGTTCTTTAATTTAATAGTCGGCGCAACCTTGCAATAGCATTTTTAGATTTCGTAGCTTTTTTCTCCATTTGCGCAAGCCTTTGGCTTTTACTTCCAAGTTCGACACAAGTATAAAAAATAGCAGGCATAATAACAAGATGATGAATATCACCCACTTACTTACTTTAGATTTTTTAAAGAGATCAAATAATGACAAATCATTGTGCCGATGAGCATCTTCTATAGAGATTTCATCAAACCCAGCATTGTCCAATTTTTCTGCAAGTTGGAAATATACAGAAGGATCTGCTTTGTGGTAATCCTGTTGGTCCTGTTCAGAATTGAACAATGGGTTAGGGTATTTCCTAGTTCATAATTACCTATTGCAAATTTGCCTATTTCTATGACTCTTCAAAATGTAAAAATTATTAAGGACCTCTTGTACAAACATATCATGAGAGCCAAATGTCATTGTATTACAATAATTATTAATTAAATATTAACCAATGAGTGCTAGTACTCTCTCCTTGATATTTAAATGCTGGCATTAGGCAGTAAAAGAAAAATTAGAAGAAAAATTAAAATATAATAATTAAGTAGGGCCAAATAAAAAAAAAACTTGGTAGCGTCACACTCTCACAAATTTTCAGAGGCGGGCGGGCGGTTTTTTTTAAAATTTTTACTCGTTTTTAAATTTTTTAATAGTATTTTTTGGGGGGATGGGGGCGGTTTTTCCACCCTATAGGTGATATTTTTTGTACCGATGTTGCGAAGGCCGCCATTTTGCTATATTAAAGAACTTTGTATACCCAAGCCTACGCGCTCCTATCGATCAGTATATAGCGCGAAGGTCTGAACATGAGAAATATTTCAAATATTAAACTGTTTTAAGCTGTAAAACGAAGAGATTTACATAAAAAAAAATTTAAAAAATTCAGAGGCGGCAGAAAATCGAGAGTCGGGCGGTGACGCTAACCAATTTTTTTTTTATTTGGCCTAGTATAGGGTACATTTCTGGGTGCATTGCCACTTATTATCATCATGATAGTATTTGTAAAGTAGAACCACCAGATACTTTTTCTAATGTAAAAACATTTCATATACAAAACGTTTTAACTCATTAAATAAAACTCACCAAATACAAAGGATAACCACAACAGAGATGTACAACTTTAGTGGTATTGTCTAAGACACCAACAAAACATTTTGCCAGGTCATCAATACCATAAGAAAGAGCATTCTTGGGAAAGCGGACCATAAGAGGCTCATCAATCTGCAAGAGGATGTGGCGTGTCAAAATGCAGATACCTATTAGCGATATATTTAACAGTCTTAACAGCCCAATTAGTCAATTGTCTACACATAATTTACTTGGAATAGGATAACCATTTAATATACCTGAATATACTTGCAACCAGCTTTGGAAAGAGCCACCACTTCATTATTGATTTCTTTCACTAAAATTTCACTAAGCTCTCTTTCATTGTCCTTGTAGTATTCATTCATAAATGTATTGATGATTGTTAACGGGGCAGGCAGGGTCACCTTGACAGGTTTTTTTGACATTTCCTGAGCAGCCAGCCACTCTCTCCAAATCCATGGATCTTTTTCTTTTGAGCTAACTGGACCAGTGATTGTTGGCAGTTTTGATGTGTAGGCACCATCACGTAAGGTAACTTTAGTCAATTTTTCAAAGTCAAATCCATTCAACTTGCGGCAAAAATAATAAACATAATTTTCTCTTTTTAACTCACCATCTGTAACAACATCAATTCCAATCTCTTCTTGCAGCTTAAGAATTTCTGATGTTGCTTTCAAAATAACTTTTTCCATTTCTTCTAGGTTGTTCTTCTTACTGAACTTGTTATATTTAAGGATATATTCATGGTTGTCTTGTGAAGTTACAGTGAACCAGTCAGATATGATCTCAGCCAAGTAATCTGGTTTACGAAATGAGCCAATCACGGTTGAGGTTAAAGACATGACCAAATCTAATCAAAAGAAATTGGAATGATGATAAGGTACATGCAAATTAAATAAGCCCAGATATTTTGTGCTATCACTCAGGCTGTAAGCACTTGCACTAATACTGTAAATGACCAGAGTCCATTCATAAACTGGGTTCATTATTCCTGTTGTTGTGTTATTCACACAGCCTGTTCCCATGCAGTTGTTGTGAAAAGTTTGGAATAAGTTGTTATCACAGTGGTTACAAGGTTGATGATGGTAACAGATTTACTACAAGTAGCCTGCATAGCAGCCAGTTTCAGGGGGAGGACTTGCGGGTGGGAAAATAAGGCTGGAGTCATGGGTAGGACAACTGGTACTCAGGTGGGTACCTGGGCTGTACTACAAGTTGTTCCAACAATTAGACTGATACAAGCTGTTCATAGTTACCCTGATAGCAGAGCCTGATTTCCCCTCGCGTAGAAAATAAGGCTCTGCAGTATTCGTGTTTAATTTCTGTCGAGCATGCTCTGTTTCCAATATGTCAAAACATGTCAAAGATCACTTGTATTTTTAGAATGACTGCTAAATTTAGAGAACCAATCGCATGCAGTTATCGCTACATGCTGGGCGCGTGCAACTGCACGTGCTGTACAATTACGACAATATAAACAATACATTAACATTTTCAAATCGATAGTTTTGTCACTTTTCAGTTGTGAAATCAAACTATTACTATATTTTTACAATTGCTAACTTGCTAGTTTATTTTATCCTACGTTACTTTTCAGTATATTTAAGTTATTGTCAGCCGAATTTTGGTTATAAAGTATAAAGTTTTAAATTTTGTAAATATATATAGCGGGCTCAAATTGTAGTCATCGGTTTACATACAAAACGAAGGCGCGCGCATTCAAAACCGGTTAGAACTGGTTTATTACCGGTTTACTTCGTCCAGAATTTTGGACGAACAAAAACACGAATACTGCAGAGCCTTATTTTCTACGTGAGGGGAAATCAGGCTCTGCTATCAGGGTAGTTCATAGTGAGTCGTTGTGAGCTTGTTAACAACTTGTTACATGCACATTTGTTGGAATAACTTGTTGAGAGTCTGTTGGCCTCCTCAACCTTGTTACAGGATGATAAAAACATGGGTGTACGGGAAGGAAAAAATTAGGGGGGGCGGAAAGAAATTTGCCCGACTTTTTCGGATTGTGCCTGCGTTGGGAGGGGAGGAGTGATTACGAAAAACTCCTATTAGATATCATATTTCCCACAAAATTGACAGAATTTGTCCCATTTATTTTTATAATAAGCCAATATTGCCAGACTGTGATGCAAATATTGCCCGACTGGCTTTGTTTGCCCAACAAACTGGGGGGGGGCTAACACCCCTCCCTGAAGTGTGTACAGTAGGTTTACCAAGTGCATATATTTATGAAACATCAAAATGCAATGTCGGGTAGCCTGTAGATACAGACTCTATTTATATAGAGTCTGTATTCGCAGGCTAGATGTTGGGATGACATCATCATTGTATATAAAATATTTTATATAATAACCAATATTGCAGATATTCTTAAAGGGGAAGTCAAGTCCGTAATGTAAACAAACAGTTTGTTTACATTTTGAACTGCTGTATTTTTAAAAATATGATGTATTGTCTGAATATCTAACAACATTTTGGTTCGCTATGCTTCTACATGAATATGAAATAGAGTTTATGTTCAGAAAAATTCGAAACATTCGAAATTTGGGCAATGTTCACATTAGAGGTCCTCACATTGTTATGAGCAGAACCGATGCGCAGAACGGACTTGACTTCCCCTTTAATGCTATTCATCGATCTATAACTAAGTAGATAAAACTAGGGGTCATGATTAAAAGCCTATGCAGGTTTCCAATGGCCTCTAGCCCTCTGTAATATAATATTAGTAATTATTATTGTAAATAGTTGATATATCAGTGGGCAAATTATTATTAAATAAAATTAAATAAATATATATATAAACACACTCATATACAGAACATATGTCTTACCTCGTTATAATGTGAAAGCTCTTTTTATGTTGTTTTAAATCTTTTCTACACAGTATTTTACAAACAAGCATCTATTATATTAGCCTATAAATATGCAAACATGTATGCAAATGTGCAAAATGCAAATACAGTAATCAACAGCTCCCCCCAACCCCCCTGCTTCGAAACTGGCATAATTGGAATTGCAACATTTAATTTGGCTCTTAGCTAAGTTGTTGTAAAAGTTTTAAACGCAATAACAAACACACTAAACAACACAAGTATAAAATATATGACGTATTGCGCCATGTCGTGTAACCACAGGAATGTATTAGCCAAATTATGTGTTCATACGGTGGTGCAATTTTCCCTGATATAATTACCTTTGTAGCATTAATTAGCAACATAGTTGAGTCTTGGATGCTGTAAACAATTAAGCTCGTATTCGCCATTCGGTAATTCCTGTAGGTAAGTATACGTCTATACTCTATACTCTATAGGCTTTTCTGCATAAGACTACATGGTCTTCATGAACTTTTTTCCTGGCTTTTTTATAGCTTCCTTTTACGTCATACCTGGTGATTTCTTTCACTTTCACTTTTACTCGAGTTCTGATATTAAAGCAGTATCCTTTAACTCTATGTTCAATGTGTGTTGATTTTATATCAGTACGTTTATATACTTAGGCAAATTTATGTTTTAATTCTCAAATGGCTGAGGCAAAGGAAGAGTTCACATTCTTTTGGAAAAAACATTCCCCATTCAGTCAATGGCACGAATCAAGTTTCACTGTGGATGGCATGACTTTCAACTGTGCTGAGCAATATATGATGTATCAGAAAGCAGGTAAGAGTGGATAATTCTATTGCCTCCTCCCCCCCCCCCCTTAGGGCTCTTGCCACTTATTGCAAAAACCAGTTTATAGTCACAAGCTTGCTGCGACTGCTTGCATATATACTTAAACCTAGATTGTCGAAGATTGTCGAGCATTGTGTATATTGAACAAAAATAATTGGAATTGACTCGTACAATGAATGAAAAAGAGGCGGTAATAATTTATTGATGCAAAAGTGACATGTTAGGGGGTATAGCTGCCAATAGACTTACAGTAAATTGTGGTAAATTATCATACTATATCCCCTACAAAGTAGTGAAGATGCATTTGCAACAACCCCACCCACCCCATTCTTGGAATTTGCAATCCAGGTTTGCGATGCCTTTTATATACCGGTATTTCTAACATGAAATTGTTAAAGGGGCCCAATTAACCAGGCCGGGGCATATTTATTATGTGAAGGTGGATAGTGGTATTCACAATTCAATGCTAACCTTTTTTATCATCCAACACCATATTTTGTCATTTTAGTTGTGTTTAATGACCAGGAAATTGCTGAGGAAATACAACAAGCAAAAGATCCAATAACACAAAAGAAACTAGGACGTCAAGTTAAAAACTTTGATGCACAAATTTGGAATGAGAAATGCAGAGAGATTGTTAAGAAAGGAAATATGGCTAAGGTAAAAGACTAAGAACAGAAAAATTACCAGATATCCATGACAATTATTGCATAATAATTCCACCAGGAAGAGTAATTACCATGATTACAATAATCACCATTCTCCTTATTACCAACAACAGTAACATTAAATTCATGACATCACCATCAGTGCAGTCATCATGATTATCATCATCATCAGGATCATCACCACCACTATCAATGGCATCACCACCAACATCACCACCATCATTACCATGATCATTAAATATCACTACTGTTAACACCACTATCATAGTGATCACATTATCATGATCACATCATCACTATGATCACCACATCATCACCATGATCATCACCATGTCCATGATCATCACCACCACCACTCAGTCACCACCACCATTATCACCACCATTATCACCACCACCATTATCACCACCACCATTATCACCACCACCATTATCACCACCACCATTATCACCACCACCATTATCACCACCACCATCATCACCACCATGGCACCAACTGTGGCATAACCATTCACTAACATAAAGATTTTTCATAGTTTTCACAAAATGCTGGCCTTAAAAAGAAGTTACTGGCAACAGGTGATACAGTGTTAGTTGAAGCCAGTCCTGTTGATCGTATCTGGGGTATAGGACTAGCTGAAGATGATCCGAGAGCAAAGGACAAGAGTCAATGGCAGGGAACTAACTGGTTGGGTTATGCTCTTACTCAAGTGAGAAATGAACTACGCGAGAATACTGGTTAAAAAGTGCCAATAGAGTTATAATTAGCTTTGTCTCTGGCATGCATGCATTGTGAAATTAGTATAGGTAATAGCATGGTTTCGAGTGAAATTTGGATATAACATGTACGAGTGAGTTTTTCAAAGACCTCAAAATAGCACGAGTCCGATTACAGAAAATTGCACTGCTGTTTGGGATTAACTGCACTGAAATCAACCAATCACAGTCGAGTAATATCTTTATGCATGAGCGGATTTACTGGGGGGGGGGGAGTTAAACCCCTCCTAGAATCTCTCTAACCCCTCTTATAATGTGTTCAACCCCACCAAAATTTTGCTTCACCCCTCCTATTTAGTGTGAAAATCTTTAACCTTTTAACGCCTAAACCCTGTTGAAACTCGCTCAGTGGTGCCGCTTGCACCCCACCAGAAATTTTTCTACCCCTCCTTTAAAAAAAATGAAAATCCGCCCTTGTCTTTATGTATATTATTATGTACATTACCAGTAGATTGCTCAGGCAAGTGCGTTAAGAGCAACCATGCAGTGTCTCAATGAGGCATAGGGACACACACATTATGGGTTTTTTTTCCGTAATGGGCAAATTCTCGAGCATAAATGGCAAAATGCATAATGTGTGTGTCTTCAATAATCTGGTTTCTTACACAGTGAATTGGCGGAATTAATATTAGAATGCTGTATTATTAGAACAGCATTCTAATGATGTGTGTCACTAGGGAGTCATGGAGCGTGACAGTTTATCTTATAGAACTGTGCAGTTTCTATTTTAGTGCACTTTTAAATAATTAACAATAATGTGGTTCATAACGTGGAAAGTCTAACACTCTAAACTCATCTGACTCATATATTGAGGAATCGAATTGAAAGTCAAAACCTCAGGAACTGAATGAAACAGGGACCACGGAGCTGGGTTATCCCCGCCCCCCCCCCCACTTTTTTACTGAGTAAGAGGAAAAAAGGTAATTGTATATGGTTAAAATAATCTGACCACAACAGGCTTTGTTCACTCGCATGCCCCCCTCCCCATTTAATTCCTAACACACTCTGTGGTCCGCACTGCATGTGAAAGGGGTGCAATACACCCATCCAGAAAGTACTTAGCCATGGCTACAGAGCTTTGTTTCCGTGATTGAAACATTACAAACTTATAATAAACAGGTCTTTTATATTCCCTGATATAACTGTATGGTTTCGTAAATGTGTCGCCTGTAACAAGGTAAAGCCGTAAAGGGCTCTGAAACGAATACTCAATCTTACGAATCTTAGAAACGGGGCTCTATAGGCAAGGCTGAGTACTTTCTGGAAGGGTGTATTGTCTGTATTGGTTGAGTGAAAAGTTAAACATCGTGTTATGGCCTATTAGTATTAATGTATCATACTGAACATTTAATAAAACGTTTCTTGCATTTATCGAAGTTGTTGTTGATTTGAATTTTGTCAGGGTGATATTGCCCTGACAGGAAATTTCTGCGAGCAATCTGGTCTCTTCTTACTATGTCTATGACGCACTTGCCAATTTCCTTTATGCAAAATTAAGTGGCAATGATGTGGTACCAGGTTAATCGTTATTTGTACCTCTATCATAAGGCCAAAAATAGAAATTTAATTTGTTTTCCACAATCTTGTGTGTCGTATGGCATGGTTTCACGTACCAGCACTAAAGCTTCTTTTTCTTTCATCGCAAGAATCAACGTTACTCGCTGCGAGTTCTTTTCGAAGCACAAATATGCTTGACAGTTTATTATTTTTTGCGATGAGTGGAAAAGAGGCAGTAGTGAGACAGTCACGTTTACCGTTCACTTAGCCTGCGTGGCAGGCTATCTGGGTTTGGGGGAGGCGATGAAAAATTTTTTGTTCTCTCCCCCACGCCCAGATAGCCTGCCACGCAGGCTACCGTTCACTCGAAACGTCAACGTTTTTAATCCTTTTCAGATGGTCCATACCACTCAATAGACCAAGGGCCTGTAACATTGTAACTCTTACTCCTTGACTTTTATGTGCGCGAAAATTCGTGACGCTATTCCGGCCGTGGTCGGAAACGATGCATTCCAAATTGATAGGATAACGCGTCCAGTATCAGATAAATCTCACTGACAGATTTAAATCATGCCAAAAATTCATCTATAGGTGTGTAAGGTTTCAGTCCACTAAGTCTAAGGGGGGTGAGGGGGTAAGTGCAGTATATAACACAGTTATTAAACTCTTTGTTGCAAAATGCATGTTATAGAAACGTTTAGCATGATTATTATATTGATTTAAAATCGACTATTATTACCCTGAAAACCCGTCTTGCGTGAATGGTTTTGGGGAACATCTGGGTTAATGTGCATACAAAGAGGGGTACCTTCACACTTCGAGTAGTGTCCTTTGGGAAGGCGGAGTTACTACCTTGACCTTCCCGACCCGTTCGGTTGCGTGTGTCATACGGTAATCTCATTGGCTGTCAGGAAGCTTTAATCGCCACTTGCGGATGACGAGAGCATGCGGCTTCCAGACGCTTTGCTGGAATGCTAGCCGAGAAGAAACACATTTGCACTGCTGAGATTACCTTCGAAGAATACAATATATACAGCAAGCATCCACTTTACAGAATTGTGAAAGAATTCATAATCCGAACTACAGTTGGTATGTATTGAACTATTTACTGTTATGAGTATCGGAATATCGATGGCTTTGGCCATTTAAACGAGTTGAGCGGGAAGCCGAAGATTTGTCGCGGGAAGGCTTCAGCCTTCGCGGTTTTATAATTGCCATTTGCGACTACAAAGTTTCTTGTGGGAAATATATATGTCGCCTTTAATGATTTTTGATTGAAATATATATAGTAAGGATCTTTAAAGCGTGTACCACAGTATTAAACGTTTTGCCTGCTGAATTGCTGGACGAGAACCGCTACGCGCTAGCGGGCGGCTTGTGCTGTCGTCGTTCGCATGACTTGCACCGGCCCCGCTGGTAAGCAAAGGCCGTGAAAGTCTAATAATTCTGGTTGATATGCTGGCTAAGTCTCGAATAGCCTACATGTTCGCCCAAACTCTAAGTGTGTATTGTAGCAGCTACTTGTCTATGTCTCCTGTGTTTAAAGCGCGTTTAAATCGAGTAACAATAACTGAAAAAGGTTGCTCGGGAAACCCTTTGTGTGTTTACTTAAATATAGCCGCTTCGTCCCGCTCGCTTGCAACCTCGCTACGCGCATATCCAGCTTCTCTTCACGTGCATAGAATTTCAAAATTCTTTTCGTTTATCTAATACTACTACCAAATTTCTGTAAAACCATGTTATTTTAAGGTCATTTGTAAGGATTTTTAAAAGAAACACACTTTTATGAAATATTGTATGAAGGCCCTGCGGCTTGTGAAAATATGAGATGGTCAGCTAGGATATATCATATCATCACCACTAATTGTTGGGTGTCAGTATCAATGGCTGAGACGTCCTGCATGTATGGTTAATACCAATAAGCATGCAATGCAGACATGCTGAAGATACCTAACTACCCACAGACAAATTTAAAAAAGTATTGTAGCAATGTAGGGCAGTTCACCTTTCTGCTTTGTGCCCTACTACATGCTTGTCGTATAGAATGTATGTCTGGGCAGATGCCAAAAAGATATAATGAAGTATTCCATTATTTATTGTGTGATAAATTTTAGAATAGTCACTGGAAAAGTATCGAGTTGGTTTTATTTATTTTATTTAGGTTTTTCAAAGTTGAAACATGAGTTTACTCAACCAGTCTGCATCGCCAAGATTGTTGGATCATCTACCAACCATGGCAAATTCTCTACCAACCATGGCAAAACCAAAACCGAAGAAAGTCACAAAACATCCATGCACACCGTTTTGTGACCCAAAAGTAGAATGTCCATTGAAACACCATGATCTTGTGTTGACATTGATGAATTGTAATGACTCTCCAGGGGCCAAGTCGAATATTTTGCAATTTCAAAAATGTGTTGTCAAGTGTATAGATGAAGGGTGGGATAAAAATGATGTTGTTCCGGACCCATCAGAAGAACTCAGATTACCATTAGTGCACTTAGCATGTACTTTTGCAAAATGTTTAGCTCTGGAGTGGTTGCTACAGTATGACTTCAACCCAAATGTAAAGTCAGAAACCACAGGACAGTTTGCTTTGCACCGTGCAATGTGTGGAATGTATCGGTCGAAAATGAAAGTTTCGGCAAAAGAACTTATACCAAAACTGAACAGAATGATGACTGCTATGCCAAAACAGTTGATGTTCCATGATGAGATTAATGGAGACACTCCACTTCATATGGCAGCTAATCTGTTAACTAGTTTAGACTCAAAATCTCAATATTTTCAGGTAGGTATATTTTCCATCATCACCCTCCCCAGCTGAAATTGCCTTATTACACAATATTACTTTGGTTTGATCCTTATGGCATATACCTGAGTAGAGGTTTATTGGAAACTACTGGTGATTAGGACACTTATTCCAAAGAAAAAGTATGTGGCAACAATATTACAGCACTATCAAGTTACTCGATTCAGCTATGCCACATAGGGATGAAAGATCGAGGACACATTAATATATGCAAAAAGCAAGATGTGGAAACAAAGGAGGAAAAATTTCGATTCATTATAACAAGTTGATCCTAGTTTAATTTGACATCTTCACTTCCAAGGGAGCTTCATTAAAATTACACAACTGAAGGTCACATTTGGATGGGAGATCATTCTGAATCCACCTGGTTGTTTGGTATTTAGGATTTGGATCTTGTATTAGGTTCCACTTTAACATTATGAATTTCACACAATAAACATCAGAACACTACAGGGCAATTGGCTGTGATATGCCCTTTTGAATTCTCCAAGAAGTTCTGCATCCAGCAGGATTAACCACTCTTCCATGGTATATATATATATTAACATGTCCAACTAGCTGAACTATCTTCAGTGGCCAAGATGGAATTGGATCAGATTTCCCACCACAGATCATGATTTAGAAATGTTCCTGGATGCCTGGCAATATTGAGTTGTCTAATGGATGGACTTCACCTAACACTAAAACAACCAAGATTAATGCAGAATTTGATCACCAAATAAACAAACAAGTAGGAACTACCAAATGGATTTGTTGGAAGTGATCAAAATCTACCAGTATCCACTCATGAATGAAAGAAATTGGGAAGTAATTTTTAGAACTGAAAAGCTTGGAATGGTTTTATGCACATTTCTTAGATCTCTTTGCCTCGTGTGACTTCTGTTGCAACCATACCTGTCATTGAAATTTTCTGCCATCACATGCAGCTAACAGTTCCTGCAGTTTTGGAATTAATTAAAAACTTATATTTTTCAGAGCTGTATTGAAGCAATAGCCAAGGCAGCCTGCAAAATGGAATCTCCTTCAAACACCATCTTGGATGCTATCAATTACGAAGGCAGAACAGCTCTGCACTTGCTGGCAGCATCTAACAGAAAGGTTGGCTCCGGTTTAAATGGTTGTATGTGTTGCATAAGCTAGACCTCTTTTCTGGTCATTGATACTCTTCTGGTCCCCCAAATTCTCCCTGTTTACCTTGGAGTGTCTATCCTTCTAAGGCCGCTTTTACACTATAACGCTACGGCTAGTATTCCGTTATAACTGGCTTGCCGTAGCGTAGCAACTACGTCTATGGACCACTACACTTGGCACTTTTAAGTCCGTATTAATATACGCTATGGTAAATATAGTTCCAATATAGATGCCAATTAATACGCTACGGTAAATATAGTTCAGTGGTGTAAACCAATCTCGTTCCCCGAGCCTGCGATCCTCGGGAAGGAACACGAGGCTCTGGGATAATCCGTTGCCGGAAGCCAGGAATCCTGGCTAAGATTGAACTGCGCATTCATTTTAACGGCCAATCAGATTCCTCCCTGAAACGAATTATCCCAGATCCTCGCGTTCCTTCCCGAGGATCGCAGGCTCGGGGAACGAGATTGAGTGTAAACACGGCCTAAAAAACGTAGTGAATTTTAAACGGAATGCTATTCGTAGCGTTCTAGTAGGGAGTTTAAGCTTCACGTTTCCGGGAACGGCAGGTTCAAACTTTCTTGGCAAAATTTTCGTTGAACGTTTTCGTTTCATATTTTTTTTCTTGCGTCGAAAGAATAATTATGTTCACTTACTCTTTATTGCTTGGTACTGGAAAATCTTTCTTTGCCTGGCGTTTGCCATAACGCGAAGCTTAAATTCTCTACTAGTGTAAACGCGCGCGGCCTTAAACTTATCCATAATCCACAATTAAGTAATCACACAGCATGTGGTACAACTTTATTTCAGGTTGAGTTTTGTGCAAGTGCGATACGTGCTTTAGTATCAGCAGGAGCTGACAAGACTATCAGGGACAACGGTGGCGAGACAGCATTAGATATTGCATTTGCTGCAGGTGTGCAAAATATTGTCCACGAACTTCTAAGGGTAAGTAATACAAGGGTAAATTAGCGGATTTACACCGAATTGGGCGTTGTTTAGGTTCGGCCGTACACGCCATCCCGCGTCCCGAAAAACTTACCACTTCTGGGGAGTCGTTTAAGGACGTTTTCCAATAAGAACGCTTGGTTCTCACTGGACGGGCGACCCAAGCAGCCGCGCGTACAAGAGAAGTTGCACGTAGTTCAACTTTCATGCCGCAAACACAGAAGGGGACCAAACAATATGATCCTAGGTACATACTGCATGTTTAACACGTTCTCTCGTTCTGCGCGAGCATAGCGATCGTAATGAAACAGGCCTATACTTTCAGAACGGTGAGCAAGCGGGTTTGGGTTTCTACTCGGAGTTGGATCAAGAACACGAGAATTCAGCGTCAGTGGCTACTAATCTGTTTCCTTCACCCAGTCGAACTGACGATAGTGATACAAACTGGAGTGAGAGAGCCAGTTCACGATCTTCCAACACACCAGCCGTCATTGATCACACGCCATTGGCAATCACGACGTGGAAGGGAATCAAACGAGAGACGATTTCCGAAACAGAGGTAAATGTGATTCTGAGTCCAAGCGCCATCGGACACTTTATGCCATTCTTGGTGTACACTTGACGTCATGGCGGCCATGTTGGATAAACGATAATTAGCAGCCATTGTATTTGTAGCGTATTTTCCTCCAGCCAGAGTACTTACAGTTTCTAGCTCCCCCCAACCTGTCCTTGGTTCACAGACAATGTACTTATTCTAAGTTATAGTCCTATTAATTTCCCACAGGAGAATTGCAGTTCACCGTGCGTATGTAGTCCAACGGAAGTAGACGCCCTCGCAGAAGGAGGTACGTCTGGAATATTTCTCCAACTTGTCATGATCACAAAAATCGCTCGAGGGTGAGGTAACTGTCACCCGTCAACCGCGTACCCAGGCTCTTTCCACCACGCTCCTCGAAAGAGCCTGGATACGAGGTTGGTCACCAGTATGATTGTAAGAATCTGTAGTTGCGTCATTCTAAAGTGTGGCGAGCTTTAACAGATCCACAGAAGAATGCATGCAGTGCGGATAACTGATTGAAAACACGTTTGGGAATTGGAACACGTCTGCAGCCACTCGTTACAAGACTTAAACACTCCTCGGCCCACTTGTTACAAGACTTAAACACTCCTCGGCCTTTCGAGCAACGGCCCATTAGTTCGGCCTGCCTTGGAAGGGCCATCGCGCTGACATGCATGGGCACTCGAAACTCGTAGTTCTTCTCTTTTTAGATTCAATGGCTGACGTGTTACTGTAACATGGCTGAACTCCCACGTTAAACATTTTTTACCTTCTTTTCATAGCTTCTTCAAGTTCTCCAGCTGTGTTAAAGTACCTCGGAGATGCTGGTTTATTGAGTGATGTCTCGGCACTTGTTGCCAGAGCGAGAGCACAAGACGAAGCAAACATGAGGAAAATAGAAAGTAGAGCAACTGGTAAAACAATTATATAGTTTACATTAAAAAACTTAACCCGGGTTGACCTGGTTGGTTTACATTAAAAAACTTAACCCGGGTTGACCTGGTTGGTCGTAGAATAAGTAAGAGTAGATTAGTCTTTTGATACCAAAAACACTTTTAAGGATACGCGCTTTCGCGCGATGATGCAGGCGCCATGTTGGTTAACTGGTAGAAAATAACTTAACATACATGGCCGCCATTAAAACGCTTTATACTTACGTTTCCGTTACATTTCGTAGAAATCGACATTCAAATCAAGAACAAGGAACATTGTATCCAGAAGATGAAACAAGACTTGAACTCTCTCAAAAATAAACGAAAAGAATGCGATGGGGACTTCGAACGGCTAAGGAAGAGAATGCATTCTTGTGAAAATGCCATGAAAGAATTACCAAATTTATCAAATTGAGACAAACGAACTGAAATAAAATGTTGTGTTATATTTTATGAGAGCAGGGCTCCAAACACTTCACCATCGTCTATTGACGCTCGACGATTTTACTCCTCAAAAGGAAAGTCCCTCTCCTTTGTAGTCGCTTCCTGATTTGGGTAAATAAACCTAGTCTGACTCAGTGATTATGACTGTTGCCACACAATTCACTCACATATACAGCTATTTCATTTAAGGTTGCCCCCCGAGCAAAGCGGAAAAGTCGAATACGAGCGCGAAAGGCTGCTGGGAATCGCTAATAAATTCATTCATTTATTAGCGATTCCCAGCAGCCTTTCGCGCTCGTATTCGACTTTTCCTCTTTGCTCGGGGGACAACCTTAAATGAAATAGCTGTATACAGTTTAAGTGCTCTCAGCGGTAGCTTGGCATGTAAGTTATCAGGGCTGCCGAGAGGTGGGACCGGGACAAAATGCCCCTCCCCCCTGCCGCTGCAAGTTTCCCAAAAATGTGAATTGGGTAGCAACGAATGTAAACAGCTAATCAGGTAGAAGTGCGGATGGAAATATTTTGATCCCATTTGGTACTGTAGAATGACTGGGCAATAAATATGGGTGTTTGAATTCTTTATATTAAGTACAGTTAACATATATGTAGTTTATGCAGAACTGAAGTGTTGGCAAACTAGTGCCTTACATAAATTGTACATAATAAAGTTTATTTCCGTATGGAAATGTTGTGCGAGAGTCCGTGTACTTTATTTAAACCACGACATTCAGTCGGCATTTTCAAAGTTGAACAATAATTTGTATCATATTTTGAAATTTGAACTGAGAATGACCATTGCTCTTTTGCAGTCAATACCTACAGCGATAGCTTGCCAAACTCGAAAACCATGTTGGTATCACCAACGACATATGCATGAGAATTCTTAAAGTAGGTCTTTTAGTTAAAATCTTACTTACCCGTCCCAGTTAGGTGACTTCTGCTAATTTTATGAAAATTAAGTGAAACTGAATATGAATGGTTGTAAAACTTTTATCTCTATACCTACCATTATGAGTTTTCACCAATGCCAAATTCTGTTTATTAGGAAGCTCGCTCGATTTCAAATCAAATGCGTAGTCGGAGAATAGAGTCCGGCTTGTGTATAACATGTTGAAAATACTGTGCGCCATTTTCTCGCATGAAGTCTTTAAATGTTAACGTCTTTGATCTTATATAAATGTATTATATTCTCAAAACGAAAGAGCACCGCGCTCGACTATTTTACATTGTAACAACGTTCACAAAATATACACAAAATACTTAACTACTGATCAACCTGAACCAAGGCAGGGAAGGTGCGCATGCGTAATCGCTCAACTTCGGCTCTTAATATGGCTACCTCCTGTGCTTGGGCTTTCGCCAAGTCGACCAGCCTACGACGAGCTACGATATTCTTGAGTCGGCGTTCACTGTTAGCTTCTGCCTGGTTTTCAGCTGCAATGGTAATAGTATGTATATAGCAATCAACAACATGATTATATCAGAGGAGATCATATCAGCATGTCCCCAGGTAGCGCTCCCTGGTAAGATGTCTTCGTTATATGTGTGCAACTACTTTACAAATTTGGGGAAAAGCCCCGTTTCGAGCCCATTCTCAGGGGCTGGGGAAAACAAAAAAAAATTCGCGCAAGGTAAACAAAAGAAAAAAAATCGTGCAAAGACAAAAGCAAAGAAAAATACCTTTAAAATTACGCAAAATAATTTCAGCACAAGCAGACGGCCGAAAAAAATTGTGCAAGCTGAAACTCTCCCTGTACACCGCCGCCCCTTATACATCGTAATAACACTCACCATCAGGATTGCTGACATTCTTTCTTTCCGCGACTGTGATCGCCATTTCTTCTAAATCAATATCCAATCTCTCGTTCTCAATTTCTTTCTTTCTAATCGCTTTTTTCAAATCACGAATCACCCGATGACGATCTTCCACATTTCGTGCGTGAGTCTGAGGAGTAGTTGAAAGTTTTCACTTATACTATTTCTTAGGTTGAGCCAAAGACACAAATGATGCCAGTATTAAGAGGGCTACTTTCGTAATTTTCTTCCTTATTACCAGTAATAAGGTAATAAGCAGGGATGGATTTACTGGGGGGGGGGGGGTCCCCAGCCCTGGCCAGAGGAGGTGCGGGTGCTATTTTTCATGATAAAGCAAAATGAGAGACAAAATGAGATACAGTAATTGAGTAATAACATGATGATAAGCGAACTGTGAACAACAATTACAGTATGTTGATGGGCGGGTGACGCACACATGACCGACACAACCCGGCAACAGAGCTGCCAGATCATGCCAGATCATGCTTAGCACCATATCAGCCTTTCGAATACAATACAATACAATACAATTACAATTCAAATACAATATGTTGATGGGCGGGTGGCACGCATGACCGACACAACTCGGCACCAGAGCTGGCAGAGCAGCTCCCCCCCCCCCTCCTCACCCTACCAGATCATGCTGGATCCATCCAAGGTAATAAACTAATAAGCCTAACTTATTAATATTACCTTCTGATAAAGTTGAAGCGTTTGTTCTAATGTTGCCACTTCTTTCTGCTGGATGGCTTGTTGATCAACTTCACCTAGATACTGCATGACAAAAACGAGGGAAACAATCAATTAGTCCCATTGGTCACAGCGAGGGGTAGGCCCCATCCCTTTCAGGAAATCCATCCTCAATTACCTGCTGCAAATCTTTTGTCACTCTCAGTAGCTGAATGTCACGTGCTCTTGCTTCTAAATCTTCAATTTGCATCTTCATCTTCTTATGTTCCCTTTAGTAAATAAAATTAAAACTTTTTTTAAACTTAGAAACAGGACAGCTGTTACTTGATCTCGAATGTAGTGGTTCAGTAGGTAATATTCTGACCAAGTGTTCAGACATTATCCAACCATGCAAACTATAAAACAAACTCACCATTCCAAAGCATGAATTCCCTTTCTAAAATCTTTACTTTCAACCATAATGTTGATTTTAGCATCTCCCAAAGACTTGGAATGAAAAAATATAAGTGGAGAGTATTAGTCAATAAGTAAACACTGTACGTATATTTCAGAAAAATACAAAGAGAAAGAGAGCTCACAGGTTCTTACACGAATAGTGGCGTTTAAATCTTCAATGACAGAACGATGGACCAATGTACTATCAGAGTAGTCAGTAATGAACGAGTCTGGAGGAACTTCAACCTACATGAAAATAATCAGAATTAACAGCGACCAAAACGAAGTTCCTTGTTTTGTGGAAACACCACGTGGCAAATAAATGTTCGTAGTGTTTCCACAAAAGAGAACAACTATATTTTATTTATAGTGGATAAATTCACGTCACCACAAATCAGCCAATCATGTTTAGTTTAAGCACTAGCTTTATAACAAGATCTGTTAATAAATCTGTCTGGGCTATTTAGAAACAGTTCCAAAATCTAAAATCCTTGCAAAGGCCTTGGTACACTATAGCAGAAGTCATAACACGAGCTCGGTAGTTACAAAACTTTGTTCTCACCTGGCCTTGTTTTAGCAATAGTTGAACTTCTAAATCCATAGTAAACTTCATTTTCTCGTCACGTAAACTGAAAAAAAATTAAAAATGCATAATTTCAAGCATGTTTCTATTTAGTATTTGTCATTAATTATATTCATTGTTTATTGTTTACATACTTTTGTAGCTCCTTAAAAAGACGCTCAATTTCAGCTCGAAGTGATTCGTCCTCCACAAATCTTCTTTGCAAGAAAGCGTTCATGTCAGCCAAAATTAAGGCTTTTGTCTTTACCTAGGTGCAAAAATATATATAGATAAACACAGATAGATTTTCGAGTGTAAATTATTTACCCTTTTAGCCTTTTAGGAACAGCTGAGGAAAGTGCAACTATAGGTCCTCTGGCACGAATGTATATACCCATATATAAAAATGCTTATACAAAGATACCACCAACCTTTTGTTCACTTTCAACTTTCAATCTTCTTGCTTGAACCAATCTCTGCCAAACGTGTTCATCAAGACCCTCGGGCATATGTCCCGGGTGATCAAGTTCCGCCATTGCTTTCTCCAGGGATTGCATTCCTGTGTAAGATTGTTTTAACATAGTCTCGCCTTCTGCGTGGACATCTGTAGCCGCTTTCAGAGTCTTTTGACCTCTATAAGGTAGAGAATGAAATGTAGTAAGTCTTTTGACCTCTATAAGGTAGAGAATGAAATGGAGTACAGTTAGGAACTTAGGATCTTCTGATAAAAGCCTACCAATTGACCATTTGCGTAATAGACTAAATTTTGAACTAAACAAGTCTAGACAAAAATTTCATCACAGCTTGAAGGAGCATCACAAAATTAGTAATATTCCAAAGTTTCGTTGCAAAATGTTGTAAAATGCGGAAAATATAGCCTTGCGAAATTTGCAATTTTCAGTCATTTTAGATTACAAACGGGAAATTGACAGCCCCAAACCCCTCGAGGC